AAAGAGACGCATATTCCCGATTCCTGGTTTACACCATTCACTTTTGTACGTTTATTAGCATTATTGTCTGTTTTTATGCTTAGTATCAGTAATATTGATGATATTGTTTATAGTTTTGATTATTTAACCTCAAATCAAGCATTTCTTTTCAGGCTGTTGAGCTATTATGCTCAGATTTGCACAGTGTTCTACTGCCAGACGTGAGTTTGGTCACAAGTATACACCAAAAATGAAACTAATCGCGGTCAGTGGCATTTGTGTGCGCTCACTTCAGTCAGATTTGACCGTACGCAGCTTTGATGAATAAGGGCCGTTGTGGTTGGTTAGAGGGCTCATTTGCATATTGCAGCCTTGCACAATATCAGTATTGCAAAAGCTAATATCATAGTAATAATTAATGGTCAGTATTCTGCGAGCTGTTGGGCCATTGCGGTGTGTAAAGGGTGAACAGGCAGGCAGACGGATGGAAAAGGGGAAGAAAAAGAGAAAAGATGGAGAGAGAAAAGGATGAGAGAGAGCTGGTTGCACATGTTAATGAGAACCTTGACTGAAGCTGAGACAAGGACAGAACGAGCATCTCTCTCTCTCTCTGCAATGCACATCTCTCTTCCTCTGCATCTTTTCCCTTTATTGTCTTTCGTCCTTCTCTCTTCTCTTTTCCTGTATATCGCTCTGTAGTTCTTTTCTCGTTTTGTCTCTTCTTTTTCTCTCGCCTCTGTCTCAGTCTCTCTAGTGCTCTTTCTTTGGCGGTGGCGATTTCTTTCTGTTTTCTCCCTCTCTCTCTCTCCTTTTCCTCTCCTCTCCTGCTCCATCTCTTTCTTTTTTTACCTCTGTATCTCTTCTGCCTTTCTCTTTTTCTCTCTCCTTTTTTGCCTCATCCTCTTCTCACCCTATTCTCTGTTTTCTTGCTCCATCTTGTGCTCACCCTCTCTTTTCTCTCTGTCTTCTCTTTCCCCCCCCTCGCTTTTGTTCCTCCTATCTCTCCCTTCTTTGCAACCCCCAGTTCATCTGTGTGACCTGTTTGTTGTTTATTATGATCCAGTAAATAAAGCTGGAACGTCTGTATTTCTCCCTGATTAGGTATAGATGGTCCCATGACCCTAAAAGCTCAGTCACTACTCTGTAATGAGGCTTGTTAGAAGGTGGAGTGGTTTATAGGTGTTTTATGACATTAAGGCGTGTCCTCAGACTGCTGAACAGCTTTAGCCGTGTTTCTCGTGTTGTGATAATTGCTGCATGTTGAAAGAGTGAAGGCTGTGCAGGAACGTTCCTCCGTTTCTGTTTCATTTTGATTTTATCAGCTGAATGGAGACTTCTAGCCTTATTCCTTTCACCTGTTCCTGCATTTTCAAGAAGTACTTCACTCTGTGGAGTGGAATTGACCTGTTCATGCCTGCAGATCTGCTCTTTAGTGGCAGTTGTTGCTAGTTCAGACAAGATTTGCTGAATGCTGGCAAAAATCCCATTTAAACCTAATGAGAAACTGTAGCACACGGCTAAGTTTTTGTGAAAGTATGTTTAGTGTACATATCAGAGTAGTAAATTCAGTATTTTAATATGTAGTGACTGTAGGGCAGTGTAAATAATTTTGAAGGTACACTACCATGTACTATTTACATGCACTTAATAATCCGATAACTGCAGAAAATCAGATTTTGTCAGTAATCCGATCAACGTGTTTACATGCACTTGGGTAATCAGATAATGGGGAAACTCCTGGTCTGCATAGTCAGACAGTAATTAGATTTCTGCCTTGCAACCAGCCAATAAACTCACAGAAGAAGACGTGATGCAAATATAAGGTAAAACTCACTTTACCTGAAAATATGAACATACATCATCTAGAAGATGAATATTTAATTCCTTCATTTCATCGAGAATGTAGTCGTTTTCAGCGTTTGTTGCTCCAAAAGTGTTTTGCTGCGTCTCATGGCGACGCTGCTCGCTTGTTTCCGGTACCGCCGTCTGTTTTCGCACATGCTCAGACTGAGAAATCCGAAAGAAATCAGAGTAAGAGTTCACATACACTGAGGAATCTGATTACTGAGCTAAAATCCAGCTTTCTTTTATCAGATTGCTTAATCAGATTTCTAGATCGGAGTATGGTGTTTACATGACCGTTTAAATAATCAGATAACTGCAGAAATCCGGTTATGATCGGATTATTGATGTCTCATTTGTGTAGTAAAGAACTGTTTACACAAAGTACTGTGATCTTTATCACAGCGGAACCTTCATAACAGGTCTGATATGTTATTTTCTTTTAGTTTTTGTTTGTTTTAACACACTGAGAACATGGGAAGAAAACAGAACAAAAAAAATGCATTTCTTACATAGTAGCAACTGTGAATTGGACAGTGGACTGTGTTTGGGTTAGGGGGGAACATTTGGGGAAATTTTGATATATTGGTGAACCATTCCTGTAATGTAAACTGAATGTTTTGGCTGTGGTGTTAACCAGCGGGACTGAGTGACGCGTTTGACTTTGCAGTCTTTGACAGAGAAAGACGGACAGAAAAAGAGAGAGAGAAAAAGACAACTCGAGGAAAATCGGAAGGGAGAAAGGATAAAGATGGAGAAATAGAAGGAGAGAAAAATAAAGACAAAGTGGGGAGAACAAAAGGAGAGAGAACGAGACAAAGGCAAAGTGAGAGACAGAAAGAGAGAGAAAAATAGAAAGAGAACGGGGGAAAGGAGGAGAAAAAGAGGAAAAATAGAGAGCGAAAGTATGAAAAAGAAGAGAGATGGAGAGACAAAATGAGAGAGAAAGAAAAAAATTTAGACAGAAAGTGGGGGAAAAAACAGAGAAAGAGACAAAGTGAGACAGAAGGAGAGTGAAAATACAGACAGAAAGAACGAGGGGGGAAGGAAAAATAGGCATAAAGAGAAAGGATAGGAAGGAGAAAGATGAAGAAAAAAGTGGAAAAAAGACAAAGAAAAAGTGAGAGACCGAAAGAGAACTGGGGGGAGAAAGAGGAGACAAAGGAGACAGAATGAGAGGGAGACAAAGAGAGAGAAAAAGAAAAGGGAAAAATAAAAGGAGAGAAAAAATGACAGAGATAAAAGGAAAGGCAGAGAAGGACAAAAAGAGGGAGACGGGCAGGGAGACGGGCAGGGAGACGGGCAGGGAGACGGGCAGGGAGACGGGCAGGGAGACGGGTTTGAGTTGGAGAGAAATGAACCCGATAAATCACCCTCTCTGTAGCCTGTCTCCTCTTTGCCTGGACCTGTTCAGTACTCGCACACATGAACACCTGCCCCTTGATCCACCACACACACACACACACACACACACACACTCCTACACACACTCCTCTGTCCAATGACCTGGCGCACACACACACACACACACTGCCATTTGTCTCCTCCCTGTTCAGACCTGTTTGCTAATCGCTGCTGTAAGTCGCTGGACAAGAATATCTGCGAACACATTCACAAACGGTGCCACTTCACAGCAAGGCTACCCTTATAAAGGGCTTCTGACTGGTTTAGGAGTTTGGGGCAGTTACCCTCCACGAAGGGGCCCTCAGACTAGAAGCGTGTGAGATCTGCTGATCTGCACTGTTACCTTGTCTTGCCCATCAGCGTTAAACCTTTCAGCTTCATCATGTTGTCCTTTTCATTAGTGTTAACTGCTTATTAATGATTTTTGACCTAGTTAATATCCATTAAAACACAAACCACTGAAACCATTCATAAACACTTCATAAGGGTCTTATTGTAAAGCAGTGACCCTTCAGCTAAGCCTTTCTGTCCCTAAACACATGCATGCCTGCGTAGATTCTCCCATGACCTCATACGTAAAGAGAGTCTAGAAGCATCACACACTGAAGCATCTGCCCACTGACTGCTATTATAAGTGTGTTTTGAGTCTGTTTTCACTGCAGATGTGGCAGATAGAGAGTAAGTAGGGTGTATTAAGTAAGTAGGGAGTATTCCTTTTTAAAGACACTAATCAGGGTCGTATTTCACAAAACATTATTTCTTAGCTGGATAACTTTAGCCCAACGCTGAGGATTGTCAGGCAGGAATGTTCCTTAGCTCTTCTCCTATCAATTAGGCTTGTTTATTTTGGCCTAAGTTATCAGGGGGTCTTTCCACAAAGCAGGATTTCTCAGTTAGCCAGATAACTTAAGCCCAAAGATAAGGACTGTCCAAAGAGAATGTCCCTCAGCTCTTTTTCCTATCGGACAGGCTTAACTTTGGGCTTAAGTTACCTAGCTAAACTGAGATCCTGCTTTGTGGAATAGCCCCCCAGGTGAACTAACAAATTCTGCCCAGTTGATGTTGGTTGGTTGTGAGATAGAAGTGCAGTAGTCATGAATTTTGGAGGCTGATTCCTGTTACTTTGCAGCCAAATTGGCTTATTGTATGGGGACTCTGTATGAGCATTTTGTTTTTGTTTATATTTGTGCTTGTTTATTTATTCAAAATGGATAAAACACATGTTGTGTGGACTTTCTATTAGCCATGGATGCCGTATGAATAACATTATTTGCTCTTTAATTGGCCAGACTTTCATTATATATTCATGAATGAAAGATCAGCAGCCTATTTAAATAACATGAAATCAAAGAGTTGCATTAAAATAAGAGAACTGGATATTTAGCTCAGTGTTTCCAATGGTACACACAGTATCATGTTTTGTTGGTGTCATGGACTCTCCTACAGTTTTTAATTAAAATTGATATAAAAACACATTCATCGAGGAAGCTGAAGGCATGTTTCATTACAAGTTTGAATCTACAGCCTCTGCTGCCTCGAAGCAGGTGCTGCGATTGAAGCTGTGTAATTTGATGGTTAACACAGTTAACAGACTCTTCTTCTATCATGCCTCACAGTTCGCAGCAGTTTAGTCCTGACAGTAGCCAGTGTTTACAGATCTATTGACGCGCTGCTGTCTGTTTAATACCCACAATGGGCCTGTTCAGCTCCTGACTGCCTGCCTGCTTCTGTTCCCTCTTCATCTTTCTTTCTGTTTCTCTCTCGTCTTCTCCCAGCCCGTGGCCGAGCCCATCCCCATCTGTAGTTTCTGTCTGGGGACCAAGGAGCAGAACCGGGACAAAAAGCCCGAGGAGCTCATCTCCTGCGCTGACTGTGGCAACAGCGGTAAGTTCTCTCTTTGTTTACCCATCGTTTTTAATGAAGTTACATACAGCGGCGCTGACGTTCGGCGACTTCTCCCGCCGGGCACTGTTCGGTTTCTGTGTGCATCACAGCACGCCACTTAGCGGTACAGACAGACAGACAGACAGACAGACAGATAGATAGATAGAAAGATGGACAGACATACATAGACAGGGAGATAGACGGATGGACAGAGTTAGACGGACGGACAGACACACCGACCGATAGATAGAAAGATGGACAGACATACATACATAGACGGAGAGATAGACGGACGGATGGACAGACACACCGACCGATAGACAAAGATGGACAGACATACATGGACAGGGAGATAGACGGATGGGCAAAGAGTTAGACGGACGGACAGACACACCGACCGATAGACAAAGATGGACAGACGGATAGAAAGATGGACAGACATACATAGACAGGGAGATAGACGGACGGACAGACACACCGACCGATAGATAGAAAGATGGACAGACAGACATACATAGACAGAGAGATGGAAGGATGGACAGACACACCGACCGATAGACAAAGATGGACAGACGGATAGAAAGATGGACAGAGTTAGACGGACGGACAGACACACTGACCAATAGATAGAAAGATGGACAGACAGACGAACGTAGACAGAGAGATAGACGGACGGATGGACAGACACACCGACCGATAGACAGAAAGATGGACAGACGGATAGAGAGATAGACAGACAGACAGACAGACGGACATAGAGACAGACAGATGGACAGACGGACAGAGAGACAGACGGACAGACAGATAGAAAGATGGACGGACAGACAGATAGAAAGATGGACGGACAGACAGATAGAAAGATGGAATTTTATTGATCCCAAAGGAAAATTGCAGTGTTTCAGTAGCAACACACATAATTACACATAAACATACGTATATTATGCAGAAAATAAAAACAGAAATAAAAATAGACGTAAGTGAAAGTATAAGAGAAATAAAAATAAAAATATATATAGATATAAATAAAAATATATCTATTTGCATATTTACACTGCATGTAAGACAGATTTATTGTATTTACATGATAGCATTGATGATGCCAAGATTGGGCCCAGCCCAGTAACCGGTGTGACAGATATGACCATGTAGGGATGGGCAGAAATGGGCAGAAACAGCATCGCATACATTCCTTCATTAGATAACGTTGCTGGAAATGTACACTGAGAAAGGCAGTCAGTCACCTCAACTAACATTACTAGCCTAGTCTGAGTGCAACGTTTCTAAGGCCCAATCCCATTTCACCCCTCGCCCTTACCACTTGGCCCTTAGCCCTCTGTTTTGCGCATTCACGTCTAGGTTTAGGGTGTCCCAGTTTTTGTTTAGATAGAGGGGGAGGGCGAAGTGTTAGAGCTACATGGCCCTCCAAACAGAGGTTTTTCAGAGACTCCAAACGGAGTGTTATTAACAGCAGGATGGCTGTGCGAGCGGCCAAAGAAACCCACAAATGTGAGAATTTTCTCCGTTAAAAAATTACGATAATCACTGTTTCATCTTAGTTTGTCGTTTCAGTGTATTATGGTCGTTTTCTTCATAACAAGCATTAAAAAAATCACTAATAACATGCTAATGTCTCGGTAGCAAGCCAGCTAACTTTCCCGTTCCACCTTAAATAGTCCAGCAGTTCTGACGCCTGAAGCGCCAGAATGTAACTGCTGCTCCATTTAAGGTGGAACGGGAAAATTCGAACAAGAAGCTGGTGAATATCTGACTTCAGCTTCATATCACTGAAGAATTAGGGGTGGGCGATAATAAATAATTGCCCCCCTCTTTGAAGGCATATGATTCCCTAAATGTAACTAAATCCCAGCAGTGAGGAGCTGAACTTTACCCTCCTCTGCTGTCACTGCAGACTGGCAGCGTCGCCTACAGAGCAGCGCTGGTAGCTGTTAATGAAGTGATGCTCTTTTTTTATGTGGGGGTCCCATTTCAGAGGGCAAGATTTCAACCACTACTCCTTGTAACCCAGTTCCAAGGGGTTAGGGTGACACTCGAAAACAAAAGGTAGGGGTAAAAATAAGAAATGGGATCGGGTCTAAATCAGCCCACCGCCTTGTGAAGGCAGAGCTCAAAGTTGGGGGCGCTGTTGTGTTTATCAGTACTGTCCGACAGTGAGCCTGCTATTAGCCCATGGATGTAATGTGGGTTTCCGAGGTTGAAACTCCAAATATGTCAGTTAAGAATGTAGTTTAGTGCAGTCATACATTCAGTATAAATAAACATCACCTCTTAGAAGGGAAAAAAGCTCAGTCAGCTAATGATAGCTTTTACTGGCTGATTTGATTTTCTTGTGATATCGATTACACTCGGGATGTTAAGAGCATGGACTGGAGGAATTCTGGGGTGGGTCTTAGAGGAGACGTGCACTTGTTAGCAGTGATGAAGTTTAACAAGTCGTCTCCAGATGTATGTTTTATAAGATGGCGTCTGTCCCTGAGAGACTAAAGCTGCTTTCACATGTTTGTGTTGAAAAGAATGCCATTGCGCAGCTCATAGTGGTACACGGCCAGTGGCGGCATGAAGCCACGCCAATGTTGACATGCTGACTGTGGTGCTGGTGAAAATGGAGTTTCTTCAAATGCAATACATTGATTACTTCCTTTATCGTGAAAAATGAAACTTTCTGCTTACCGCTGTGGTTTTTGCCAGTTGTGGTGGCAGAATTTTTTCATTGTGGCTGCATTCAAAACAATGGAATATCAAGTTTATCATCCATCTGCCACAAACGAGAACAGTTCTGTCCATAGCAATATATGGACTCAAGTGATTAACTGTAAACCTACAAAGCTTACCTGTATAGCAGGTGTTTCTGATATGTTGCCAAATGTGTATAACCAGAAAATAACCAGAAAGTCTGTGTATATGTGGGAAAATATTTTTGAAATAAATTAACGCCCATCCGTTTTGTATTATTATTTTTCCTATTTTTATTTTTCTGTGTATAGCAGCCTTACGTAGCTGTATAGGTAGCAAAAGCTGTTACACTCAAGCTGTGCCTTCTTCAAATCAGCCACAATCAGGAACTGAACTGGCCTTTCACACTCACTGTCAGTGCCATCTGTGTATTCCCACCTCAGCATTTTCACGTCTCGTGACTCTCCACATTGTTGTAGAATGACTTCAGTGGGGTGCAGCGCTTGTAACATTTTAAAACAGTATAAATGAAGTTAGGAATCGTGAACTTTGGAGTGAAGTGGGTTTTAGAGCCGTTAATGGGTTAAACAACCAAAATAAATCTTAATGTTTCTTGTGCAAAAGCAGTGCTAAATGTCGTTTCACCTTAATTTTGACAAAGCTCAAGTAAACTTTTTGCCAGCTTTGTTTGAATTTACACTATAACTGCTGCCACTGCATACATTTTCTTTCTCTTCTTCTATTTGCGTAGTTTTCAAAATACTCTGGATATGAACTTTGGGCTAAAATGGGCTTTAAGAGTCTCTGAAGCTGGTGATTTGACGCTGTGATTTTCCTCTAGGCCACCCGTCCTGTCTGAAGTTTTCCCCGGAGCTGACGGCGCGGGTCAAGGCTCTGTGGTGGCAGTGCATCGAATGCAAAACCTGCAGCAGCTGCCAGGACCAGGGCAAAAATGCGGTACCCTGATTTATTTATTTATTTTATTTATTTCTGTTTCCTGTACAGTGATGGTGTGAATGTGCTGGTTTGCTGTACTCGGTTTGGTTAAATTTGCATGATTGTGTTTCGTACAGAACAGTTTAATCAGTGTCAAATTAGTAAGTTGCATTGTTGGAGGGAAAATGCTAACCTGACTGTGTGTCTTTATACAGGAAAACATGTTGTTCTGTGACTCCTGTGATCGAGGTTTTCACATGGAGTGCTGTGACCCACCACTGACGCGAATGCCAAAAGGTAGAGGAAGCAGCTGTTTTACTCTCTGTTTCATATTCTCATTCATACATAGTTGTGCAGGCCCATGTACCAGCGTCATTATTGTTAACAACAATGAAATCTCTGAAAAAAGTGTGTGTTAACTGTAATAAAAATTCAGAATAACAGAAAAACTGCCCAAACTGTAGTGTTCAGTGCAATGAGAGAGAATTACTAAGAAAAAAAAAATATTTTTTGTATTTTCAGCACAGTAAGGATAGTCTAGAAGACAAGCTTGCAGCCTAGCTGCTCACAGTCGACTGCTCATAGCACTGCTGTAACAGCAAACCTCGTCTGAGCAAAGCTGCATCAGAGTTTGGGATCGCTTGAGCCAGTTTCTGACTAAAGCAGCTGTGTACCTTTATGCAGTGATGGTAAAAGGGAATGGAGCGGGGCTAAGGTTATTCTGAAAGCGCATAGTGAAACTAAATAAAAAATCATCCTCTGTTTTCAGTGACTGGATAGCGAGTGCATGAATACCATCAGAAAAAGAATAAATTATGGCTATTTTTGGTGCACAAATGTTATAAGTGGACCGCATTGGAAAAATACAAGAAAGATGTAGGATTTGAGCCCTTTAGAGCTAACTAAACATGAAAGAAAATGATGAAACTGTAGGCTCTGCTGTGTATGTTCAATATTATAAACGTGTCTCTTAAAGGCCAGAGGTAATGCAGCTATATGTAGTCATGGTCAGAAATGTTCTTAACTTCTAATGTCAGTTAATGTAACATCTGTCTAGCTCTCTGTCTGTCTGTCTATAGCATTATATAACCGTTTTTGGCACAATGTAAAGCAAAGCTGGCATTTTCAAAAAGGAAAGAAAAGAAAAACGCTTTAATCTGACAGCAAAAATATACATAGTCATATTTATTATTTGCACCGTGTGCATTTATACAACAGTTAGTTCTGGCCACGCAAGCTGATTGGCTGAGAGGCGTTCTAACTGTGCTGTTATTTTACCATAACATCACGGTTTTTTCACAAACACTATCACTCCGCTGAGACGCCGTTGCTAAGCAACGACTTTGACATATGTAGGCGACGCTCAAGACATTCGGACGTTTTTACTTCTTACTTTGCCACAAACAGAAAACGGACACTTTTAAGATCACATTTGACCGACAGCCGATTTGGTCAGACTCTGAAGATGAGACGACACTAAATTCCCAAACTGTCGTCACCACTGAGCAGCTTTTCAGTCGGCAGCTGTGACAGAAGAACAGCTGAACAACCTGGAATCAGCCAGAAATGAACCCAACACCATTCGCCAAACTAAATGGGCTGTAAGATGCTTTACAGACTGGCTGGAACAAAACAACATTAATACTGATCTGGCAAAAACTGACAAAACTGAGCTAAACTTGATATTGCGGCAGTTTTATGGCTCAGTCTGTACTTCAGAAGGCGAGGCTTACAGCAGACTGAGCAGAGTGAGCGGAGTTCCTTAATCTGACGTAGCAACAAGCTGCTCGTTAAGGAACTATAATTTGGTGGAAGGAACTGCGAACATTAAAACATAAACGACGCGTTCACGGCCCAGTTTATTAATTTCTTACTTTATTTATTTAACTGTTGTATAAAAGCAGTAGAACACTAGAACACACTTCATGTTCTGTTGCTTAAATGTAATGCATTGAGTATTCAGGGCTGTTATATGCACTCCTCGTATGTAATCCTTGGTGTCTAAAGGATTTTTTTTGTTCTTCCACAGGTATGTGGATCTGTCAGATCTGCAGACCAAGGAAAAAGGGAAGAAAGCTCTTGCATGAAAAAGCAGCACAAATCAAACGGCGGTACAATGCGCCGCTGGGACGACCGAAGGGCAGGTGAGGGAAATCAGAGTTTTAAGCTGGCTTTGTAATCTTTTTATTACAATGTCTACAGGTATTAAAATTTTAGTTATTCTCTAATGTGCAATTCCATTATTATTATGGTGTTTCTTGCAGTGCTGACCATAAATATATATTATAAACACACAAACATCGCAAAATTTATGTTGTTGCAAAGACAAAATACCAAAAAAATTAGCCTTTTGGCAGGAGAGATAAGCCAGCAACCTTAGGTTGCAGATTCAAGTCCCTTGGGCAAGGCGCTTAAACCATATTCACTTGGGTCTGTGTGGTCTTTGAAGCTTGATTGAACACACATCTGAAAACTTTTCAAATCGATCAGACCATCTGGCTAAAAAGTGAGCATTTAAAAAGCTACAAAGAGGTTTTATTGCTTCATTTATCATACTAAATTATAAAATCTAGTCATGGACACGGCAGTACTTCTGTATTTTTTTTTTAAATAAATGAAACCAAACAAAACATTCATAATGAAGCAATAAAGTAAAATGACTTTGGCATCTTTTATTATTATACATTGGATGAACATGCAATTATTTCTTCACCTCGGACCAGCGAATGCAAATTTCATAGCATTTTTCCCTGTCAGACTAAATTTAGTTGTTGAACATGAGCGAGTTACCCCCCCCCACTGCTCCAGTTGGTGCAGTTTAACTGGCAACACTGTGCTGCTCTTAGACTGGGAAAGGTTGTGCAGCAGATTAACCATTTTTAATTGAGTAATTGATCAGTAAAGTCTAACTTGTCTGTGTCTTGAGGCTTTTAATTACTACTACTACTTCTACTGCTACTACTAAGCATTTGCGATTCGTGTCCACAGACCAGGTCGCCCTTTTAAGAAGCTACGTGGAGGTGGACGTGGCCGGCGGAGGAGAGGTGCCGGGGACCATCGTTCCCAAGGCTCTTCTTCCCCGCACTCTTCCTCCAGTTCATCATGTGAGGGTTACCCCGGCGACGACCGCCTGCTTTTCTCGCACCAAGACGACGACTCCGCGCAGGGCAGCCTGCGCTTCAACAAGAAGACGAAGGGTTTGATCGACGCCCTCACCAAATTCTTCACGCCTTCGCCAGACGGCCGAAAAGCCCGTGCCGAAGTGGTCGACTACTCACAGCAATACCGCATCCGCAAGAAGAAGAGAGATTTGGACGGCAGGACAGGAGGTGAGTCGCTGGAGGAGCTTGTGAAATATATTACTTTTTTTCTTTTTCTTTTTTTAAATGATAGTCCAGCTGTGTGGGGTTTAAAGTAGGGCAGAAAGATTAATCATTTTTATATCGAAATCAGTTTCAAAGAGTGCAGTTTTAAATCGGGAAGAAGTTTTAGGTGGGGAGGCTTAGGCCTGAAAAAATACTTCACACAAGGACACGAACGCAGATGCTTCGGGGTTTCGTGTGTAGTTGTGTTCAAAAATGTGTCATAACGCATTTCATAATGTGACGCAAGTGTGAGCTGCATTCTGAGCGTTACAGCAAGGGGCAGTAAAACAACAGCCAAACCCGACCAAGGGGTCTTGTACCGCCAACGTGCTTTCTCAACTGCCATGGCAGATGAGCAGTTGAATCTCAAAGATGGCATAAAAATGTTTTATTATCGCCTTTTCATTCCAACAGAAGAGGTAAAGCAGCTCACTCTCCTCTACTGTCCACGTTCAGCTGTTCAGGCTGTTGGAATAGCAGTAGATCCCTCTCTGATTTGTCCTCTTTCGCCCCCTTCAGAGTGTGTTAACCTCCCCAGCAGTGTAAGAACGCGCGGTGAGTTTGTACAGAAGGACCGAGCGTTGGCGATGCGTTGGCTGAGCACTGTCATTTGCGTTCGCGTCCTTGCGTAAAGTATGTTTCGGGCCTCAACCTCATAACACAGAGCTTGAACTGCTTGTGGATGAGTGAGGCCAATCAGAAGCAACCAAATGCCCATGTGCCCATGTGCACAAGCCAAAAAAAAAGTGGACATGTTGGTGGTCTTGGTTAAAAACAAAAGCATGGACATGAATTTATAGAAAACAGTCGCAATTTAAATTGCAATTGCAATACTTCTCAGAAAATTCGCAATTAGATATATTACACAAATTGTTCAGCCTTAGTTTAGAGAAAAATCAAGTTTACTCAGTTTTACCCCTCAGCACAAATGTAGTCTGTCAGCAAAGACATGTTTAGTGTTTACTGTTTGCTTCAAAAGTATGTCATACAGCTAAAAACAGCAGCCGCGGATATTTTAAAGCCTGAATTTTTGTCTGTGCTTTTGTCCAGTTTTATAGATAACTGCAGAGCAGCGTTAGAGAGTTATTTTTGAGATTACTTAATCTTGAGTTTTTCTCAGGAACATTTTTGATATTTAGTTATGCTGACTGCTCAGTGCTAATTGGTTGGGGTTTAAGCTTCCATTACTTGATAGCTGCGTTAGTCTTGTAGCTCCAGGACTAAAATGAAGGAAGCAAACTTTATACACCAAGCTTCCAAATGTCTTGGCTGATTGCCTACATTTGGTGTAAGATGAAGAACTGAAAATTTGTTTTTATCTAATAGCTGAAACTTAACCAGACTAATGCATAGCAAACTGTTTGCTGACAAAAAACAAAGCTTCATTCTTTTATTTACGAGAACCCAAAAGCAAACGTGAACGGACACAAGTAGTATGCTGATGGTGTCTCTACCTCTACCTCTACCTTACTCTCTTTTCCTCTCTCTCCCCCCTCCATCTTTCTCTCCGTGTGGCTTTTACACATGCAGACAATCAGGAATGTGGCGACGACTGGCGAGAGGACGAGGAGAAGCTGCCGGGACACGAGAACCTGACAGAAAAGGACGTGGAGCTTTTCAGACACATCCAAGAACTGGCACTACAGGTACGGATAGAGATAGAGGAGAGGATGGGTGAGCAGGGAAGCACAGAGGAATGGCAGACATGCTTTATGTGCTCATCAGACTGGCTGGATTTACATGGTGAAACCTCTGAAACAAACTTCTGTACAACTTGAGTCACACAAAGTAATTCAAAAACAATCCTGGTCTCATGCAGCACTTAAATACCAACTAGTAGTGGTGCTAATTAGTGAAGTTGTTGTTGTTGTTATCATTATTATTATCATTATCATTATTATTATTATTATCTTCTGTATTTATAAAATCATGTTATTTAACCTACATTTGCATCATTTTATGTCAAAAGAGGGGAATATGAATAACTTGGCTGTATACATCATGGTGAAGCTAATAAAGCAGAGCATATGGTTTCAGGATCATCCAAAAAATTAGCTATCATGTCTCTGATACAAAGTTTGTGGACCCCTGCTCCTCCAGCGTTTCTTCTGAAATGAAGGGTATTAATAGGGAGTTTGTCCCCCTTCACTGCAGTAACAGCCTCTGCTCTTCTGGGAGATTTTACACTAGATGTTGGAACAGTGCTGTGAGGATTTGATTGAGCATTACTGAGGTCAGGCACTGATGTTAGATGGTCAGTTCTGGATCAGTCCAACTCATCCCAAAGGTAATGGATGGAGCTCCATCACTCCAGAGAACACAGTTCCACTGCTCCACAGCCCAATGCTGGGGGCTCAACAGCAACGTCATACTACATCCTAAGACATTTATAGTTGACGTAAAGCTAAAAAGTAAAGAATAATTTTAGATACTGTTTAGTTACTGTGTTTCCCCTCAGACTGACCGTTTTTATTTATTTATTTCATAGGACTCGTTCGCTGCCATAGATGAATCGTGAGGACTGAGTGCTTTTATGCTGCCAGATTGATTTGAAAACTGAAGTTTTTATTCCCTCTCTTTCTCCCTCACACATTCATAGATTTACCTGTTACCTGTATCCCGTGTTGAGATTCTACGCAGTAGCAGCCTCTGTCTTTGCCTGAAGCACTGAGCCTATCCGAACACCCACATGGCCTCTTTGATGGGGTTCATTTCTATGGCAGTTGGTAGACAGGAACGCTATACATCAGTCTGACAACAGAAAGTGGTCTTTAGTGCATGAATGTTATTCTTTTCCTTAAACAATTAAACAGTTAATTAGTCAAATTCATCATGTGATGGGCAAGTGAGTTTTTAACCACGTAAAGGCTCATATCATGGAATATTATTAAAACAAAAGCGTTGAGGTGGGCAGTATAACAATATATGATTATCGCAGTATTTTTGGAGCATATCTTGAATTATCTGTTCTTAGCTCTGACCAGCTGCTTGTTTCAAGTCTGAGAGTACATTCTGCTGTAGTTTTTGATGGCCGTTTTGTTTTTAAATGTGATACTGTTAGTAAATTGTCTCAAAATATTGTGATATCACAGTACTTTAATACGTTTTCATAAGATATTTACCATATCGCTTCCCCCGTGTGATATACTACATTTACACGGTTTAAGTAAATGGCCCATATTATAGAATTTTCTTGATTAAGAGTGTGATATAAACTGTCTAAACATTGGTACGTTTAGAAAACGTAACATTCTCTACTAAGTCCTGGACGTTAAGCTGCAAAATCAGCCGGTTTTGGATTGTTTTTGTCATGAAAATGAACACATTTCACCAGCACTGTTAGAAATAAAGGTACTGTACAGGTACGTTTTTCGTTCATCAAGGTACAAACAGTGTAAATGTTCCCTTAAAGGTACAGCAGTGGTTTTAAGTTCCAATTGTGCACCTTTAAATAAGTTTTTCTCAGGTAAAATGTACAGATTTGTACCTTTTTCATAACCGAATGTTGTAGAACAGTAAAATAAAAGCCTGGAGACGAGACGGGGTGTGTGGAGTCAGTACAGCTTAGAAAATATCATTTCAATGGATTATGGTACAGTTATGTTCCCTGACTAAAGGTATTGAGATGTCGCTTGGGTGGTACCCTCAAGGGTACAAGAGAGGTACTGCCCCAGTGGCAGTTTCATTTCTTTATTTCTGAGAGTGTATAGCAGTTTAGCTCCGCCCATTTACACAAATTATAAGGAGTGTTTCAGCCCTGACTGCCTTATACAGGGCAGAAATCAGAACAGCTCCCTTATGTATGTTGGTCTTAGAGGCACAGTAGCAGAAATAGCCTGTTTAAAAAGTGGATTATGACTGTTTTGGTGCAAAAACCCACACAAACAATAAACCGAAAACATGAAAACATTGTAGGATGTGGAAATTTGGTCGTTTAGTCACTACTCATTTGACAAAATAGGCTTGATTATGAACAAAAGCAATGAAAAACTCAAATGGAAACTGTTAGATCTTCATCCAAAGTATAACTAAACAAAATCTCACTTTAAAACCGGGGTGCCAAAACATTTTGTCTAGTGGGACCGAATTGTTTCTGGTGGGCTGAGGGCTTAAAGATAAACAGTATACAAGTAAAGAAGGTAGGTGGGTTTCAAGTCAGTGTTTTTAATAACACTGTGTTGCATTTTGATGCCAAATGAGATCAAAAAACAGTTCAAAAGAAAAGTAAGAATATGATGTAGTATAACAGTTTGTTCTGTCGTTAGGTGAGAGGGTGTGGTGAGGGTAACTTCGTGGCGAGCCAAATCAAGCGTCCTCTTAACCTACTAAGTTCATCTGATGGGCATGAGTGGGTTAATGGAAATGTACTTTATAAAGCTTTATGATCACCCTTTTCAGGATGATTTAGAGCATTGTTCTGCGGCCTGGCCAGCCGTTCGTTAAAATGGAAATGTTTATGGCTTTTTGGTAAGTCGCTGTTTTCCAGATCTGTTTGAGTGTAATTTCCAGTACGTTCTGTGGGAGGAGGGGTGTGTGTGTGGTCGCTAGAGCGTGTTGGCAGTCTGTTGTGTGGCAGATGCTGTAGGTTTCCGTTCGACCGAGACCAAAGGGCTAATAATAATCCTGTAAGCACGAGACTGCAGCTGAGGGAGATGTTTGTTTGTGTGTGTGTGGTAAGAAAGTGCCTAACCTCAGTTCATTTATACTTAAGGCCCCATGTGAAGCGCAGGTGCTCTGTAGTAATCACTCTGTTTCTCTGTCCACCAATTGTTTCTCTGCCAAAATACAAAACTTGGCTTTGAAACAGGAAATTCGGATTCAGCTGTTTATCATTTATTTCTGATCTTTCGTTATTGTGCGTTTTCTGGGCTGATTTGCTTGTTTCACCAAAACAATAACACATTAAAAGGTTTCGCAGGGCAGTAAACAATGCATTAAAACTGAGAAATCTATCAGTAATAATCTCAAAAGAGAACATTTAAGTATTTATAACTTAATGTGGTAAAACTTAACTGAAAAGAAATACCAGGCATAACATTATGACCTTGTTTCTACGCTCATTGTCCATTTTATCAGCTCCACTTACTATATAGGTGCACTTTAGTTCTACAGTTACAGACTGTAGTCCATCTGTTTCTCTGATACTTTGTTAGCCCCCTTTTACCCTGTTCTTCAGTGGTCACAGAGACACAGCAGTGCTGCTGGAGTTTTTAAACACTGTGTCCACTCACTGTCCACTCTATTAGACACTCCTACCTTGTCAGTCCACCTTGTAGATGTAAAGTCAGAGACGATAGCTCATCTGCTGCTGCACAGTTTGTGTTGGTCATCCTCTAGTCCTTCATCAGTCGTCACAGGACGCTGCCCACAGGACTGTTGGCTGGACTATTCTCAGGATATATTAGTCCTGTATGAATTGCCATGTTCGTAAATATTCCAGCATTTTTTTTTATTTAATTTTTATCTATTTATGTATTTTTTTTGGCACCTGGAAAAGCCTTTACTTTTACTACTTTCCATTATTCTATCATTACACTTTACATTATCATCAGCTTTATCTGTTGTCTACTTTCTTTATCTATTATTTACTTTATCTACTTTACATTATTCTGTTACTTTATTCTCTGTGGCCCAAATCAAGTGGATGTGTATTTTCATACCTTAAGCGTGTGACACGGAACATTAAAACGTGTAAAATGACTGATAAAAGGTTTGATTCTGTGCTGCTATGTGGGCTGTAGATTGTGAGGCTAATGGAAAATGCCAATAACACATGGTAAAATTACATTACCCCATCCGAACACTCCTGTAGGCCACTTCTTTTTGCCCAAACAACATGACTAAGATAAGTTATGTTTAACACATGACCTGGTTTTTGAATCACATTTTTAAATTATAACAAGAATAGCAAAGGCAAATCATACCTTGCTGTTGAGGTCCCTGGGAGGTCCAGCTGTATCACTGCACCAGCTGTTTAGCTTCTGTTATTCATTGTTTGTAAATCTGAGTAAAAATTCCCCCTCATACACAAACAAACTGACATTTTGTGCTGGAATTATTCAAATAAACACAGATGAGGTTTTTTCATTGTGACTGAGCAATGATAGACCTTGGGACCCCTTCTGACCCGACAGTGTTGTAGTTTGAGTTTGTGTAAGATGTTTGTAAGTTTTTTAGTCATTTCATAAGTGTAACCTGTCTGCCAGCATTACTAAGCTGCTTTATTGAAAGCCTTCCTCTTCTTTATCTCATTTATGTTCTGCTTTTCTGTCTCCTTTTTGTTTTCCTTTTCCCCTCCGCAGAAAGTTGGCGTGACTGGGCCTCCGGACCCCCAGATGCGATGTCCCTCCGTCATAGAGTTTGGAAAGTATGAGATTCAGACGTGGTATTCATCGCCATACCCACAGGAGTACAGCAGGTACATATTCACAAAATATGTGGATCACTCTTTCGAATTGGTTCAAATCAGACTTTTCACTGAATTGGACTTTAGACTAATTCTTTTGCCTCAATTATGCTTATTTTATTAAAATAAATGATTAAACTTTCCATTTTGACACTGCCAATACAATCATAACACTACCAAAACTAAAATAAGCCTCCGCCTACAGACAACTCTGTCTTCGGTAGTGACGTAAAATGCGGGACAGCTTTTTGTGAATGAAATTTTTTTATTTAAAAATTAAACTCAAGGGCTCCCGAGTGGCGCGACCGTCTAAGCGTTGGCCCTCTCATCAGGAGATCGCGAGTTCGATCCCTGGTGATGCTACAGCCGTCCGTAGCCGGGAGTCCGAGAGAGCACAATTGGCCTCGCTCTCTCTGGGTGGGTAGGATGGCCCCTCCTTCTCCCCCCATCACTCAGCGCGATGCTAGTCAGCGCAGGCGTCTGTTAGCTGACGTAACAGATCTGGCGGTTGGCGCTTTCCTCCGAGCGCGTTCGGCTGTCCGGTGACGTTGCGTGAGCGGCAGCTCGAAAAGAAGCGGTGGTTGGCTTCACAGGTCTCGGAGGAAGCCTGTGTTAGCCTTCACCCTCCTAGCGTTGATAGCATCGTGTGATTGGGGGAGTCCTAACTAGCGGGTGGAATTGGAGACGACTAAATTGGGGAGAAAATCGGGTAAAAATTAAAATTAAACTCATGGTAGATCTAAATCTGTCAAATTCACTTTAAAATAAAGGAAATATATTTATTTTAAAAATACACATAAACAATATGAGTATTTTCACAGGTTGAAATTTAGGGTTTGGGACAGATACCTCCCAGTAGAAAGTACCTTGTGCTTATTAACTAACTCGCTTTTATTCGCTCTGGGACCCCAGTTTGAACTAAGTAGGTAGAATGGCTCATATACAGACACACTCTCTTGTATCTCATATACAGATACTCTCAATCAATAAGGCTGAAAGTTATTTTAATATATTTTAATTGAGAAATTAACATTAGAAATGAGGGAAATGTAAGGAAGTGTAAAACTACATTCAGGCTTGAGTGCCTTTGTGCCAATGTTCTTTCCATACTTTAAGCTTCGCTCAGCTATATTTGGCTTCAGACATTTAATGGGACATTGGCTGTAACAGTAATGAATGACCCTTCTGCTCCCTAAATGAATATTTCGGCCAAAATCTGATCATGTGGAAAATAAGGTGGATAGCTTATACGCCCCTCCCTCTCGCATTCATTGTTTTTCGTGGAAACTGCTGACAGTTATGAGAACTAGGTGGCATCGAGGTGCATCCTGTCAGAGTAGAGGGGGTGGGGCTTGAGCTATTTATGCACCCACACTCAAAAGACTGGGCTTTTTTATTACACAAGTCACTTAAATTTGAGAGATTGTGATTTTTTTGGGGAGTTTTATTTTTTTTTGTTAGAGGGCAGCATGGGAGGCACTGAGAAAGGTCTGCTGGAGAACATTAAATTGTCAACCAGTCTGTGTAGTATGCAATTAGAGCTCTGTAAAATCAAGACATTTTAGAATAATGACATTTTTAAGACACAAAGTAGTAAAATTTAACCGAATTTGAGGTATTTTAATGGAAGGCTGTGTGGCAGGCATTGAAATAGTTGTATGAAATTTATTTTACTGAGCCCAACCAGTCTGTAAAACTTTTGTTTCTCCATGTCTTCTTACACCACTTTGACAGAAACTGTCCAACACTAAAAAGTCGTGAAGCTGAAATCAGCTTCATGTTCGCCAGCATCTTGTTCATATTTTCCCATTCCTCCAGTTACATTCTGGAGCCTCAGGCACTGTTTAAGGTGGATTCGAACAAGAAGCTGTCAAATGAGACGCTGACTTTTCAGCTGAGACATTTTACAAGAAGCTGTTCTATTTTTGTGGGAAAGTATCCTGCCAGAGATGTGAGAAAAGCAGCTATAGCTGAGCTAAAACTAAATTAAGTTGTTTATATTATATTTTTAGTCTATACTAGGACATTAGCTCAAACTGAGACATATTCACAGCCGAGATGGTCAAATGTTGCTTCAGTAAATGGATATAAAATGTTGTGGTGCTCAAGGTGGTTTGATTTTTGTTGAAAGGACAAAATGGCTCTCCTTAATGTTTGAGTTGCCGACCCCTGATTTAGACCAATCGGAAGCAACCAAACACCTATGTACTGTGACACAGTGTACTTTAGCCACAGCTGAAGTGCAGTCTATGTTCATTGTTCAAACCACAAGCCAAAAAAGTGAATATTCTGTTCTTTATGGCTAAAAAAAACAGGCCTAGAGCTTCATTTATAGAGAATAATTGCAATTTAAAACACATCACTGACAGCAAACTCACGTTTACGCACTCGTGTTTGGCTGGAAATAGTTTTGTTTAAGCTTAAAAGTGGTGTTTCATTGAGTTGTTAGTCTGTCTATTCTTGGTCCTCTTGTGCCGAAACAGAATGAGTACCTGAGTAGTGATTTCAGTATTCGAATACTGGCAACTTGCACAGTTAACTAAGTACTCAACTTCCTGTGCACATCCCTAATATTAACATGTATTAAATATGTTGTTCAGGGTAAATTGGTTTTACTTTTTCTTCACTTTTTTCCTTTTTTCTTTACTGCAAAACTGTTGTATAAAGACAAAACAAGTGGTCTTGTTATTGCGAATAACATCACTACTGCGATTCGGTCGCAGACACATGCTGAAGTCTCGTTCTGTTGCACAACTGCTTAAACTCTAGACTTATTTTCCAGTTAGTAATTGTGAGGCGTATGATTCACTGACTGTTACGAATTATTCAATAACTACTATGAATTATTCAGTATCTATAAATAAACTGTATTGTATTGTATTTAGTTATGAGAGTGGGAGAGTCTCGGCCCACTGACGGGCTCTTAGAGTTGAGAGGGTTCATTGCCCAAGGTCCAAAAACTGATCCCAGAATGTCATTCGATCACAAAAAAACCAGCAGCAGGCTTGTAAAAAGGCCCGTATACATATATATGGGCCTATAGATAAGGAGAACGTCATGCTGAGTAGTTTTATTTTAAAAGAGAGAAATGTACTCTTGTGGAAAAGCAGTGTTGCTGTGTTTGATCTTCTGTTGAATGTTTTAATTCTGTGTTTCTGTGTTACAGTGCTGTAATAACTACTTAAAGTAATGACTATGCTCTGTCTCTCACCCACGTACTTCCTCTCCCTCTCTTTTTGTCTTTCTTCCTCTCCTTCTTCCTCTCTCCCCCAGACTTCCTAAACTCTATCTCTGTGAGTTTTGCCTGCGTTACATGAAAAGCCGCAGTATTCTGTACCAGCACATGCGCAAGTGCACCTGGTTTCACCCGCCTGCCAACGAGATCTACAGGAAGGACGACGTCTCTGTGTTTGAGGTGAGAAGTCGAGACCTCCTCTTAGCCACAAACCACATCCAGGTTTGTTTTCATTCAGTGTCAGGACAGAGGGTCATCAGTATGTCCCATGTACACTGACCAGCCACTTCATTAAGTACTCCTCCTTGTTTCTACGCTCATTGTCCATTTTATTAGCTCCAGTTAGTGTGTGTTGCGCTGGTGCGAGTGGATCAGACACAGCAGTGCTGCTGGAGTTTTTAAACACTGTGTCCACTCGCTGTCCACTCTATTAGACATAATCTCATCTGTTGATGGATACAGGATACTGGATGTTTTTGGTTGGTGGACTATTCTCAGTCCAGCAGCGACACTGAGGTGTTTAAAAACATCAGCAGCATTGCTGTGTCTGATCCGCTCAGACCAGCACAACACACATCAACACACTGCTGCAGTACTGAGAATGATCCACCACCCAAATAGTACCTGCTCTGTGAGGGTCCATGGGGGTCCTGACCACTGAAGAACAGGATAAAAGGGGGCTAACAAAGCATGCAACTGTAGAACTACAAAGTGCTACTATATGGTCAGTGGAGCTGATAAAATGGACAGAGAGTGCAGAAACAAGGTAGATGAACTTGATGCAGTGGCTGGTCAGTGTATATGGGACAAATTGATGACTTTAAACATGACTTCATGCTAGAAACTTTAAACAAATAGACATGCTTAAACATAAATAAACATGAAGCCACTGTTGCTCTCGCTAGATCTCAGAGATGAAGATTTGAAGCTGCGTTCACACAACACAAATATTAATTTATAGAAAATAAATATGTTCTGATGAAGCTAAAGTGCCCTGTTTTTTAAATGGGGGAAAAAAACTTTTTTGCGATCCAGTTTGAGCAAATCAGATAAATGTGATCAATTAACTACACACAGTAAAGAGAGAAATCACTTTTATTTATTTTATATGATTTTTATTTTCAGCCTAATCTTAACCTTAGGAACCAGAAAGAATTCATATTGCTCCTATAGGTTTTATTACTAGGTCAGGAACATTTTTCCTAAAAATATATGAAAACACACACACACACACACACACACACACACACACACACACACACACAGAGGACCTAGCCGGAGCCTGTACAAATAAACACGCCGAGCCATGGCGGGCCAGTCTGTGGCCTACGCCCATATCCTGTCCTTCTGAGCTGTTAAAATGACTCGTCACAGCTTACTCTTCCGCTGAGAGCAGTTCAGGCTTTTTTTTTTTAAATATAAAGTGGATCAAATAGTACCCTAAAATTAGTGTTGCGAGATTTATGGACACACAGGCAGCACTCTGTATTCATCTTCTGCCATTCTTGAAGGAAAAATAAAAGGCTATCAAGACGTAAACAAGTCTTGGTTCACAATTACAGGCACTTGAAGCTAAACATAGAAAAGCAAATCTAGTAGACGGGACCACCGTCTACAGATTACTGTCATTTGTGTTTGTTTTTGCTTTAATGATGGTTCCAGTCCTACATGGATGTTTGTCAGCGTACACTGCAGATCAAATTTGGAGACACTGAAATTTAAATGTACCTTTCAGTTCGGTAAGGAAGAATTACCTGCAAATGTTCTGTTAACGCTAATCGATAAAACAATTAAATAAGAAGTATGCTTCAGTAATCAGCTCAGTGTTTATTAGTTTTAGCACATACTGAAACTCTTTTGGCCTGGAGTTGGTTCAAACGCCTGAAAGGTATCACAAGAACAGAAATGCATGGCACCACATTTGTGGTGCTGGTTAGCCATGTACATTTAACCACTCTGAAATTTGTAAACGTATCCCAGGACCAGATGTTGCCTTTTAGCTGACAGTGGCTTAAAATGAGTAACAGGGCTGGATTGAGGTATTTTAGCACAGAATTAGCAAACACACAAAATGTGGTTACCTAGCAAAGGACAAAGGGCATTTTAATGATTTACATAAATTGTTTTTTTTTTTTAATAAATAATTGATTTTCTGTGTATATATAATCTGCGTAAGATAGTAGTATTTTCAAAGTGACCATCATTAATAATATTGCAATTTAATAAAATAATGAAATATGAATAAAAATTCCTGCTGAATGTGTGACTTTCAGATACTCCAGATGTTTTTCGTGGGGGTGAATCGGCTCAGGTAACAGGGTTGACAATGTTGAGGCACACTAAAAAAAAATTTTTCATGATCTGTGAAGTATTAATCATACAAAGAAACATTTTTGCAGCATGAGCTGTTGAACAGATTTAACACATTAATACTAAAAATTGATAAGATTTTAAAATGTTTTATTGCTTAGATTTTAAGATAAAATGTTGTGCTTGGAAAATATTGTTTTCCAAGTGTTGTAGATGGGTTTTATTAATGTTGTAATATTTATCTGAAGTGTTATGAAATATAATACATACATAAAGTTGTAGGCAAATGTATGGACACCTCCAGTTCAGTTAGATGTTTTGCTGATTTTTTTTTTAAGTGACAAATTAACACATCCTCTACCGAGAACACTCCTAAATGTGTCCTGTTTCCATCAGTTTAAGTGCAGAATTTTTTTAATGTGCCATAACATTTTACATAGGCCACATTTTCTTTTATTCATTTCCCCAATTTGTTAAATTCAGCAAATAAACAATAATTGTATGTTAAAATGTGCAGCAGTGTGTTCTCTGTAGAGGATGTGTTCATTTAGTGTCACTTAGAAAATCAACAAAATGTGGAATTCGACAGGGTTGTCCAAACTTTTGTGTACAATAGTGTTTATAAATGTAATATCAGAGGCACCACACTCATCCAGCTTTGTCTCACAGCTATTGTTGTCCTTTAAATAAATCAGGTTTTAATGTTAGATTATTCTAAACAGACCAAAAAAAAACATACTTGTTTGTATTAAAAGCATTTTAAAAAAACCTGGGTGTCCCCAAACTTTTGACAGGCAGCACGTGCGCATGCCTCCGAACGCCCGTCAGGCTGGTTTCTGAGAGGTTTCAGGTTTCAGCGCTGATACTGACTCAGCAGGAAAGCGGTGTGGATCTAGCAGTTTCTGGCGGTCCGCCCGGATCCCTCCCCCTCCAAAAACGCTTTAGCACAGGCAGAACTGTAGCAGGACTCACTGCTGCTTTATGTAGGCTGCACTCCTTCCATGCACACCAACATCTTTAACATGAAATAAGCGTTCGGCGGATAATAATGGTCATCAACCTGATGAATAAATTGGATCAAAACAGAGAACAATAATGAGCCAAAAATATTTTTACTCGATCAGTGAAATTTCATTGAAGATTAGCATCGTCACCTGGTGAATTCCATTGATTTGTCAGATTTTTCTGCATGATAATCATAAAACAAGGTCTCAGACATCAGGCAGCTTAACCATTTCATGTAATAACTTTCTGTGAGGGAGCTTTCAGGCTACGTTTGCGCAGCAGGTAAAAGTGGCCCAATCCCGATTTTCTCACAAAATCTGAATCTCTTTTAAATGTGATCTGTATGCGACATCAGTCTGAACAGATCAGCTCCTAAACTGACCGCATGCACAAAAGAACAGAGCTTCACGCGGCTCATCCAGAGGTAAACAATCACGACCGCCAACAAACGCCAGGCGCTCCCGGAGGATCAGCTTCATCTTCACCAGCATCACAGGAGCCATCATGAAGCTTCACTGACTGACAGCTGGGCTCATCACCCAGAATGTGTTGGAGCTCGCTGTAAAAAGGGCGCGGTCACTTCTTTGTTTCGTTTCCTCGGATTCTTTAAACTTTGCTTTCAGACTTTTAACTGTTCTTTGACGCTGCAGCCTCGTTCTCCTGCAGCCGCGTTCGGACATTTCTTTCAAAATCTCTTGGACAAGTCTCTTCTCCTTTTTTGTACAGAAACATCAGCCTAAATGTTTGAGGTCTCAGCAGTGTGAAATTATAACAAATGTGGAGTTGGATTGACGTAAAAGTCGCATGAATTCTGATCTGGCTGTTTAGACAGTCATATTGCTGCATATTGGATAAGTATCAGATTTCAGCACCACATACGGAAGTGTCCCACATCGGAATTGAAAATGTCAGATTCAGTGTGTTTCTGCTTTTCACACTGACACACAGACACACATCTGTGTCACATATGGAGAAAAAAGATCAAATTTGGGCCACTTTTATCTGCTGTGTGAACAAAACCTCAGAGGCACTAGATCCTTCAGCCCTCTGGTTCTGATCACGTCAAACCGCTCTTAAAAATTTGTGGACATCTTAACAATTTAATTATGTAGACGTTTTGAAAAACCTGTGGGATTCCCCTTTAAGTTTTGCTTTACTTTGAGCTTCAAGAAGCTACACTAGGGGCCAACTGGCTGGTCACCCGGCTTTATTTATTCATTTATTTGTTTGTGTCGAAGCAAATTTTCACCTGCCCTGTGTTAATATTCAATACATTTCTCTGCATTCCTGTTATTTCTACATATGTAGGTTTACATTAGGGTAATTTTTTTAGAAATTGACGGAATCGAAAGTGTATGAAGATTGCAACAAGTTCTTTTGTGTGTTTTTTCAGGTGGACGGTAATGTCAGCACAATATACTGTCAGAACCTCTGTCTGCTGGCCAAGCTCTTCCTGGACCATAAGACGCTTTACTACGATGTGGAGCCCTTCCTGTTTTACGTGCTCACGCAGAACGACTCCAAAGGTTGTCACCTTGTTGGCTACTTCTCGAAGGTGAGCCCATTCTGCCTGGTGACTGGAGGTGCAACTTGTCAAACTTCTGCATATAACAAAATGCAGTTTCCAGTTGAATTTCAGTATAATCTTTGATTCGGAGGTGAAGATTCAGGTCACATTTTGGTAATTTGTGTTAATAATGTGTTGGGCCAACTGTACAGAGTTCCAATTATGTCCTAAACAGTAGTTTGTCTGAGAAAGACGCAAATTTAATCTCAGAAAAGATGAGTAGTATGTCTTTGGGCAAAGTGGGGATTTTATAAAACAGTGTAACTGGGCTATAATCAGTCCAGGAATAGGTAGGATGCATCTAGATACCTAGTTGTGGTCATCGACATATGAGAGGTGGTAAATGAGACCTATTTGGCATTACGGTTTAAAATTGCATTAGTTTCCATTTTTCATACTTTTAACACTGAATCAAAAACATTACACCTTCAGTGGATTTTCTTATGACTGTCAAATTTAGTTTTAATTTCTAAAATTCATGATTTTCAGGGATCAGGAACCTTTTTCTAATGGCGCCCTCGCTCCCTGAAGGTTTGGCAGAGTGTAACTCATTTCATTGGCACAGAGTTTCAGAAATGTATGAAACTTTATTGTCTTTGTCAGTTAACTCTCATGCCAGCAAAATCTCAGTTTAACAGGGAAAGGAAAAAATGCCAGAGAAGAAAATTAAATGTTCTGTAGGATCTACAAATCTGGAGTGACTGTTATAAAAACACATTTATGTCTGTTAATTAAAACCCCAGTCATTACCAAAACAGTGCCACATCCACCCTAGATTTAGTTCAACAGACTCCTTCGTAAAATGGACTGATGCAATGATTTCTGGGATTGACTGGGATTTAACTGTCTTTTTTTTCTCTCATTATTTTCTGTGCCTTGTGTTTCTTGCTCTTTTACAGGAGAAGCATTGCCAGCAGAAGTACAACGTGTCCTGCATCATGATTCTTCCACAGTATCAGCGCAAGGGCTACGGACGGTTCCTCATCGACTTCAGTACGTCTGCCAGCATTTTTCTCAACTTGATGTTCACAAGCGGAATAGGTTGTTTATTTATTTAGTCTCTGAGGTCAAACTTGACGTTTGTTCACACACCTGCACACCTGACTGGTTTCGTATTTCTGCATAAGCCTTGTTCAGTCTTTAATGACGGCGTCACTCGGCAGACTGACTTGGAAAACCATGCAAACAGTGGAAGCTGATTAAAAGCGAACAGAAACCTGTAAAGATTCATAACCTAAAAATAACTTGCTTGGTCAAGTGCCAGTGTTACTTGGAGCAACTACCAGAGCAGAAATAGCCACAGTGCTGGTGCGATGTCTGCTTTAAACCCTTAAAAATCCGGAGTAATGGAATTCCGTAATTACGTAGTTAGTTATGTAATAATTTTCCGCTTACTTTCAGTTTTCGTTCTGTAGTGACAGGTTCAAGACTGCACTAACAGCATTCTTCTGTTAGTTTAGATGCCAGTGACACTAGAACAATCGAACACGAGAGGGAGTGTGTTATCGCGAAATAACATCACGGCTTTGGTCGCAGGCACGAGCCAAATCACAGCAGTGATGTTATAGCGATAACACGCTCCCTCTCGTGTTCTATTGCTTTTGTACAACAGTTAAATAAATAAAGTAAGAAATAAATAAACTGGGCCGTGAACGCGGCGTTTAATATGTTTTAATGTTCGCAGTTCCTTCTGACAAATTATAGTTCCTTAACAAGCTGCTTGTTGCTACGTCAGAGTAATGAACTCCTCTCACTCGCTGCACAGCCGGCAGTTCGTTCTCCAGCTCCTTGTTTTGCTCCAGACAGTCTGTAAAGCATCTTACAGCCCGTTTTGTTTGGCGAATGGTGTTGGGTTCATTTCTGGCTGATTCCAGGTTGTTTAGCTGTTCTTCTGTCTCAGCTGCCGACTGAAAAGCTGCTCAGTGGTGATGACAGTTTGGGAATTTAGTGTCGTCTCATCTTCAGAGTCTGACCAAATCGGCTGTCGGTCAAACGTGATCTTAAAAGTGTCCGTTTTCTGTTTGTGGCAAAGTAAGATGTAAAACTCTACACACACCAAATTTAAATGAAAATAAAATACCTCCTCTTTTACTGGTGATCATGAATGTCGTACGGATTGAAGGTTTAGAATCTGCAGAATTCAACTGAATGTATCTCTGTGTTGTTGTAAATGTTTAATAAGGAGTAGGAATAATTAATATGAACTTTCAGTATGCTTCTGTAATCACTGGTAATAACTGACTAATGGTCAATCAGTCCAAACCAGTACATTGGTCAATAAAACATTTATGCACCTGTTTAGGTTACTTGTTGTCCAAGCGAGAGGGTCAGCCGGGTTCTCCGGAGAAGCCTCTGTCTGACCTCGGCCGGCTGTCCTACATGGCTTACTGGCGCAGTGTGGTGCTGGAGTGTCTGCATGAAGTGCGAGACAAGAAGCTCACCATCCGCCGACTCAGCAAGATCACTGGCATTTGCCCTCAAGACATCACAGCCACCCTGCAGAACCTCAACATGCTGGAGTACAGAGGGGGCCGGTGAGAGAACATACATACAAACATACATGCATACATATCGACCCCTTGGTATTATAAGGTTCTACCTGCGTTCTGAGCAGTTTTGAGATATTGAGCTTCAAAGAGTTTTCAGATTACCAAGACTGATATGGGGAACACGACACTTTCATACATATAAATGACAGACACCCTAAATGTTTTCTAAATTTTAAATATCAAAATCCTGTCAAATTTGTAAATTATTATTATTTTTTTGGTTTTGTTTTTGTTTTTTTGTTTTTTTGGAACAGATGAAATGCAGATAGAACCTTCTAATCCTAATTTTTATGACACTTATTTTTCTTGTTCTTTTATTTATTTATTTTTATGACATTTTTTTCTTGTATGAGGACAAATTATCTGTTTCTTATTCATATGGCAGTGCTGATTAAGTATAAAGGTCAGTGCTGAATATTTTGTCCTGTGTAGAGGTCAGTTTTCGGAACCATTAGTTTAAGTTTCCATAAATTGTCCCAGCAGGTGTAGCAGGTCAGTCTAAAGGCAGTATGAGGTTTTGTTTTTTATCACAAACATGACTCTGATAGCCAAAATGTCTTATTTTGGGAGAAAGAAGTAAAAAAGAAAGGTTTGAATGAATTAAATTAATGATTGTTGTAATCAATTCAAGCCTTTATTATATGATAGTACGACCTTTTAAAGAAATGCAAGATGTTTTCATGTTTTGAAAGAAGTTTTATAAACTTTTCCTGCCGTCACTGAGCAGTGCAGTGACATGACAAAGAAGCAGAACCTGATTGGTCCTCTTGTGTGTATTCAAAGTGCTGATTGGCTCACAGATAGAACCTTAAAGTTAGAGTTTGACTTCAGAGTCTTTTTGTTTTCTAAATAAAGTCCAAGTCCAAAAATGCACACACATCAAAAAAACACCTTACGTATCCGATCTAGGACCACATATGAAAGTGACTCAGGTCGGATTGGAAAAGATCAGATTTGCGTGTCCACACAGCCCTGAAAACATCAGATCTGAGTCACATTAGGGCAAAAAATTGGATTTGTGCCGCTCCAACCTGGTAATGTGAATGTAGCCTATGTTGGATTATTTAAACATTTATAAATGTTGATTTAACGTTTATAAATGGAGATAAAGAGGATTTACCTCAGTTCTGAAAAGCTTATTTGTATCACCCATGCTGTCTTACCAAGACCTCAGTGCTGTATAGATACTCTAATGGTTTTTACCTAGATGCCTTTTTTTAAATAAATATTTTATGAAAGCAGATTTTCAGAAAGGGCTTAATTCAGTGATCTCTGAATTAAGTCTCTTTAACTCCAGTTCTCTAAGGCTGCGTTTACACAGCAGGTAAAAGTGGCCCAAATCCGATCTTTTTCCTCATATGTGACACAGATGTGTGTCTGTGTGTCACTGTGAACAGCAAAAAACGCACTGAATCTGACATTTTCAATTCCGATTCAAGACGCTTTTATATGTGGTACTGAAATCCGATACGTATCCGATCTGCGGCAACGTGACTCAGTCCGAATTTATGTGATTTACGTCAATCCAACTCCACATTCGCCATAATTTCGCGCTGCTGAGACTTATAAACTTAGTCTGATGTTTCTGTACCAAAACACTCATCAAAGCGCTCCGTGTTTGAAGAGGTTTCGAACAAAACGCGGAGGAGCCCGAGGCTGCAGCATCAGAGAACAGTTTAAAGAATCAGATGACTCGAACCAAAGAAGTGGCCATGGCTGAATAACGAGCCCTTTTACGGCGAACTCGAACACACTGTGGGTGATGAGTCCAGCTGTCAACCACTGGAACTTCATACTCGCTCCTGTGATGCTGGCGAAGACAAAACTGAAAGCTCTGGGAGCGCCTGGCGTTCGCTGGCCGTCATGACTGTTTACCCTTGGATGAGCCACGTGAAGCACTGTTGTTTTGCGCATGCGGGCCGGTTTAGGAGCTGATCTGTTCAGACTGATGTCGCATTTAAAAGATAATCTGAACAGCCAATCTTGGTGAGAAAATCAGATTTGGGCCACTTTCACCTGCTGTGTAAACGTAGCCTAAATCAACCGTATGGCATACAGTGTCGGAAACCACAAAAGCATGTCTGTTCGAGCACAGTGCTAACTGGTGTACATAAACTTTCATTACTTGTTAGCTGCATTCGCCTCATAGCTCCAGTGCAGAAGTAAAGAAGCCGACTCCAGATGCCAGACGTCTTGGCTCTTTCGCTACGTTTAGGGCAAGGGGGAAATTGTATAATGTATAAACTATCCCTTTAATTTCTTTGAAACGAGTTGTAATCTCTCGGCTAACTGGGTAATCTCCACCTTGTGGGGTGGAGAGCAGCTATGTGGATGAAATCACATGCTCTTCTAGGCTGTAAGCCCAGACGTTTGAATCTGCTGCTGAACAGTATGACATACAGTGCACTCGTGGCAGTGCCAGCCTAGTAGCACTGCACGCCTGAGGGAGGGAGCATAATATTTTGATAAGTACTAATTTGGCTCTCAAAATGAGGGAAACTCCTGTAAGACTGCAGCTGATCATTGGCACAGCCAAAGTGTGATGTCATCACCAAGGCCAGCCAAGACTGACAATTATGGAGAGGGAGAGGGAATCCCTCTCAAGCCCTCTTGTTGAACTGAAACCAGAAACTTTACCTTTCCTAAAGTAATTAGCCACAATGAAACTGTCTGATAGATCAGGGACATGCTTAAAACTCACAAGCTGCACAGATATTGTTGATCAGCTAAGACGTGTTTTAGTTTTAAATCTGCGTCTTAACTTTTGCACTTGTCACATACTTGTCTCAAACCATGTCAAGTTGAAGAATCTCAAATATATTTACTTATGTGGTTTCTGACACTGTATATTGTGCTGTTTTCCAGTAAATTGACCAAAAAAATTGTTAAAAACAGTAGCAGCACCGAAGCCTGAATTTTCTGTCCTCGTCTTGGTTACACAGCAGGTAAAAGTGGCCCAAATCTGATTTTCCAATTTTTTTTTTTTTGGTTTGGCTGTTCAGATTATCTTTTAAGGGTGATCTATATGCGACTTTAGTCTGAACAGATCAGCTCCTAAACTGACCCACATGCGCAAATGAACAGTGCTTTATGTGGCTCATCCAGAGGTAAACAACGAACGCCAGTCGCTCCCAGAGGTTCAGCTTCATCTTCACCAGCGTCACAGGAGCCATCATGAGGTCCCGAAGGCTGACAGCTGGACTCATCACCCAGAACATGTTTAAGCTCGCTGTAAAATAGCCCCGTTATTGGGGCGCGGTCACTTCTTTGGTCGTTCGGATTCTTTAAACTTTGCTTTCAGACTTTTAACTGTTCTTTGACGCTGCAGCCTCGTTCTCCTACGGCCGCGTTCAGCTATTCCTTTCAAAATCTCTCCGAACACAGAGCGGTTGTGATGAGTGCCTTCTAATTTTTTGGTACAGAAACATCAGCCTAAATGTTTGAGGTCGCAGCACGATATGATGACGAATGTGGAGTTGGATTGATGTAAAAGTCGAATGAATTCCGATCTGGCTGTTCAGACTGAGCCGCATTGCCGCAGATTAGATACGCATCGGATTTCAGTACCACATATGAAAGCGTCTCAAATCAGAATTGAAAATGTCAGATTCAGTGTGTTTTTGCTGTTCATACTGACACACAGACACACATCTGTGTCACATAAGAAGAAAAAGATCGGATTTGGGCCTCTTTTACCTGCTGTGTGAACAGACGTTTTTAGGCCCTGCTGCAAATTGTACCGAAATTATTTTTCTTCGGTATTCAGGGTTCAGTAATTAGCCGCTCTCAATATTTGGCCGCTCTGAATTTACCGTCTTCTCATTCCTCTTCATGGCACTCCAGGCTGGTGCTGGTTCGCAGAGAGAAGCTAGTGGCGACTCACATGGCGCGGCTCCAGGCACGGCCACGGCTGCTGGAGGTCGACCCGGACTGCTTACGCTGGACGCCTGTCATTGTCACCAACACGGTAGTGTCCGAGGGGGAAGGGGACGAAGACGACGATGACGAGGAGGAAGAGGACAGAGAGCAGGAAAGCAGCAAAGAGGTGAGTACTTAATTGCTTAAACAAGTTAAAAATATATAGAAATACGTTTTTTTTTAGTATAATAATTTTACGTTCCTAGAATAATCTTATAACTATAAATATTAGAGATTATCTAGATTTGAGATGATTTCACCTACCATGGTTTCATATTTAGCAGCGTACCAACACGATATATTGCTCTTAAATGAAAATAGCTACATATTTTTAACACATACTTTGAGAGTGTATTGAATTTGGTCTTTTGTTTACATGCTAGTCATACAGGATCATGAAGGTTTAGAAAACCTTATATGCTTCGTCTGTTAGTCTGTTGCTTCTAAAAGATCTTACGTCAGCGCTAAATGTCTTGCATTAAAATTTAGTCTTTGGTTATGTGCTGTTATGTATTTATACATCCTGCATCTAGCAGACACTCCTTGAGGAAAGGTATAGTCGTTTTTTTTGGGAGTGAGTCAGAGCTTCATTTAGAGCTGCATATGAAGTTGCTGTCTGAACTATTGAATCTGTTGGTTTAACTCGGTGCTTTGGCTTTGTACATTGTAGGCAAAGTCCAGTCTCAAAAGTCCTCCACTGTCCTGGAATGTAAGAGCAGAGAGGGAGGAAGATGAAGACAAAAAATGCTTCCCGTCATTCCCAAAAGGCCAAAGCTCTCCAGCCTCATCCCCCATACACAACAGCCTCCCGAGCCCTGAGCGCTCGCCTGTTCAGGCAAACGGGGAGCGCAGGGGGCGCGGCCGCCCTCCCAAAAACTGGCTGTGGGGAAAAGTCAAAGACCGGACTCGGCAGGGTCCGGGGCGGCCACGGAAAATGAGGCCTGACGAAGATGAGGATGAAGAATACAGATCTCCGGGGAACAAGTTGGCCGCATCCTCCATCTCTCCACCCACCCTGTTCACCTCAGACAACGAGCCAAACTCTGCATCAGAACAGCCTACGGAAATCCCCCGGCACCCTGCAATTCCACCCCAGCGCAGCAGAGGGCGGCCCCCACGGAAAAAGCGAGGCCCCAAACGCAGGCTGAGTGATGAGGGGGAGGAGGGTACGCCCTCATTGACAGCGACTGCAAGGCTGAGCGAGACTCTACCTGCCCGAGAGTCTTGTTCTAGCGAGAGCAGTGAGGAGGAGGAGGAAGAAGAGGAGGAGGAGGATTTCGATGAAGAGATGGGCACTCGCTCCCCTCCTGTACTGACCAAGCCAACATTAGGGCTCAAATGCAAGGTGGGTGGAAATCAGACAGAGGAAGTTCTTTGTTTATGTTGTCTTTCGAATTATCGTCTTGGACTAGGGCTGCAACAATTACGTAACAAAGTCAACAAAATATTTTTGTGGTCATTCAGACAGATTGCAGTACACTGCAAGAAGCCTTGTGGGCAATATAGTCTATTTGGGTGGTATATCGACTTTTTGCAGTATATTGATATATTTTCAAATATAGTTATAGGATGAAACAGTTTAGTTTATATCGATATAATTTGATGTTACGTTAAAATACACAACCCATTTCTTCTGTAAAGCCGTGCCAGTGTTTACATCTCTCCTCTCACACTCTCCACGTTACCCTGCCACCACTGTCCTTCTGTGCGCAAACCTGGCATCACTCACCCGCAAGTACTTCTGCAACACGAAGTCTGATAAAATGTGCTATGTTTTTTAAATGTCCTACCAGAGATAAAGCTGAAGTCGGCTTCTTTGCCCGCCTTCTGTTTGAATTTTTCCATTCCACCTTAAATGGAGCAGCAATTTCAGTCTGGCTCCAGCTGCTTGTTCAAATTTTCCAGTTCTACCTTAACCGGTGCAGCCCCATTTAAGGTGGAAAGGTGAAATGTGAATAGGAAGCCAACTTAAGTCTTGTTTACCGTAGTGCACATTTATTCTTACCTAAAACTACAGGTAGGATATTTTGATGGCCTAAATCACTATCAAAAATGATAAATTGAAACATATAGGTAGCATATTTAGATGGTCTGAAGCTAAGTAGCAATATTAAGCTGAGTCTCCACAATAGACTTGAGATAAGACTGAATTAACAATAGCATGAATAACATGCCCAAGGTCTGGTTTGTACAAAGAAAAGCGGTGGTTCGATTGTTTGGAGATGGTTCAGATTTAAACGGGCAAATGAGCAGCCGAACCATGTTATCTGCAGAGAATCCCTTAAACAGGTTGCATTCAAAAGTCGAAGCGCTTCAGATCTCTCTCACCATTTACAACAGCGCCCTAAACTGCAGTACGAAGAGTGTGTTATTGTTGTTGAAAGCAACAGAAGGAGTGTTCTCAGAGATAAGTCTATTTTTATAGTTAGATAGATCACCAAAATGGGCAAAGTTATCTGTTACAGCATCACAAAGTGCAGTAAATAGCAAAGCAAAAGTGTTGCCATACACTAGTATACAGATGCATAAATAGAAAAAGTAAAGATATATAATAAAATATACTAAAGCAACCATAAAAATCTAATGTGCAGTATAAAAATTAGTAAAATTGCATAAGTATTATGCAGGTGAAAATGCAGTGGTACATGTCACATCCACTGAATGAACCAAGTAGCTATGCATTGTAGACGATAACAGGTTAACAGTTGTGCAATATGCATGAGTGTATAAACAAGTGGGAGTTCAATACAGGAATAATACAGTGCAATATGCAATATTTATGGACATATAAACAAAGTGGCGGTGCAGTATGCAGTGTGTATAGATGTATAAACAAAACGGCAGTGCATAGTAATATAAGTAGAGATATATAATGTCCAGCTGGTGCTCAGTGGCCCTGTCCTGTCAGTGGCTCAGTATACAATAATGTCCCGGCACATTATTATTACATTATTTAACGTAGGGTATTTATATAATTTATCATTTACGTGTTAATTTATTGTGCAGCTGTGCATTTCCAAACCGGGAAGGAAACCCTGTCTTTGCATTTATTTTGTTCACAATCTTTGTTAATGAATGTGCTTTTGATATCTCATATGTGGCTTTGGCATACAACCGAACTTTGAGGGAGATTCTGTGTATTGCGATTAAGCCCAAAAATACCGCAATATGATTTTTTTGGTCCATATCACCCAGCCCTAATTTGCACTATGCAAGAAGAAACTGCTAGTCACGCAGACGGACCCAGAGATTTTAACTTGAACTAGTGGTGGCAGCAAAGGGAAAGAAAAAGGAGGCACCCAGCATGTCCACAATGTTGGAGTTATAACCACAAAAGCAATTGCATGGTATAATGAAGCATCAGAGTGGAGTTGGCATTTAATAGCAGAAAATTGATTATAGATGCACATTCAAAACATGTCTTGGCCAAAAATGAATAAATAAATAGTTAATTATTTTTTTGTGATTATAAATGAAAATAATCCCAGAATAAAAGGTGTGAAAGTGTGAGAATGAAGCAAGATTATGTGATCAAGGTTTTCATTTGTTTTTGTGCGGTTTGCGACTTAATTGCATGTTACGTGCTAAATGGAATCAGCATGTGAAATATGTATAGTTCTGTGACTCACTTTTGTTAATTCCTCCTAATCTCTGTCCCCAGAAACAGGTGAGGAAGCGACGCATACGGCAGCGCAATCATCCCCACAGCAGCGTTGTGACTGAAACGATCTCGGAGACTACAGAGGTTCTGGACGAGCCCTTTGTGGACTCGGACACTGAGAGGCCCATGCCTCGGCTAGAGGAGGAGACTCCATTTGGAAACGCCCTCCGCTGTTACCCACCTGCCCGCAAACACTTAGATCCAGCCCCGAAAAGGGTCCGCCCAGCCAATCTCTCAGAGTCTGAGGAAGATGGTTAGTAACGCCCTTTTTTTTTTTTTTTGTCATAATCTTCATCATAATGATGGACAGTGTGATTAAACACATTTCCTATGGCTGTAGTTTTATCTAGAAAATGGTTTAAACAGTCAAGGTCATTGATGGAAAAACATCTAGCATAATGATCTCGTGAAAAGAGGTGAATTGAGTCAGCGTTCGAGTCAATTCAGCTGTGGATTTATCTTGCATGCACTTGTGGTGGAGGAAGTATAATGGTGTGTGGCTGCTTTACTGTCTCAGAGTTGAAGGACCAAATTGAAGGACTACTTGCAACTTTATATATGTGTTGTGTTCAAGGCAATTTTCGTACTTCTGGTATTGATTATTTACTTCCTCACCTGCAGATCCCACTCCTGTGCTGAAGCCAGTTGCTGGCCTGAGGAGGCCAGAGCAGACAGAGGAAGGAGAGGTAGTGGAAGCCCCTGTCATCACACCAGAAGCCCCGGTGAAGAAGAAAAAAGGCTGGCCTAAGGGCAAGAGCCGCAAGCCCCCGCACTGGACGAAGCGTCCTGGGAAAAAACCCGGTAGTGAAGTCGACCAGGTTGCTGACACCAGCCTGACAGCTCAGTCCTCTGAGGATCCACCACCTCAAAAGATCAAGGGGAAACCTGGCAGGAAGCCTCGAAGCTATTACCTGCAGCGGGCCCAGGAGGAGGCTGCCAGGCAGGAGCTGGAGCGAAGCCGACTGGCTCAGCTACAGTTGGAAAAGCCTCCGCTGGAGGACCGGGCTTGCAAGAGGAGATCCTCCGATATCGACTGCGAGAAGCGCAAAGACTCGGACGAGGAAGACGATTTCCTCCAAAAGACGACAGAACCGCCCAAACCTAGGAGGCGAGGAAGGCCACCAAAAAACTTGAACCTCCAGCCTCCGGCCCCCAAACCACCCCCGCCGTCCGAGCCGGATGAAGAAGATGAGGTGGAAGATCAAGATCAAGCATGGACTGAGGAAAAGCCCAGCCGTCCACCTTCTCGCACCTTGTCCCAGTCTTCTAGCTCCAGAGTCCCTCAGAGCAGAGACGAGGACATGGCTGACCCAGAGGAGGATGAGGAGAGGGAGGAGGAGGATCACAGCGACCCAGGCAGCAGGAGAACGGCAGCAGCACCCGGCAGCCGGAGGAGTGATGATCATGATGCAGATGACGAAGGCGATGGCCGGCTAGAGGAGAAAAGTGACTGCAGCAAGCGGAGGAAGAGCCAGGAGTCTGAGGAGGAGGATGAAGAATTGGAGGACGAGGAAGAGGAGGAACCGTCATCCCCTGCTCGGTCACCGCCCGTGAAAGAGGAACCGCAGACCACTGGAGAAGGTTTTTTAGACATGCAGACGAGCACGACACAGGAGTATGTCAGTAAGCAGGAAGAAGAAGATGAGGAGGAGGAAGAGGAGGAAGAAGCAGATGAGGTGCAGGAGGTGAAAACCCGGTCAGTCGATTCGCAAGATGAACGGCGGCGGCGGGAACAGGAGGAATCCGCTGCCGCTGCTGCTGCCGTGGAAACGGTAACGTCCATCGCGGTCCCTTCTGAACCACCGGACCTTCAGGCACTAGAAGATAAATCCGTCCTGATGATGGAGACGGAACATCAGCACGCCAGTACTGAGTTCAAGGATGAGCTCAGTAGCCACCATCAGCATGACCACCACAGCAGTGAGCTGGACCTGGAGACCGTCCAGGCCGTCCAGTCACTCACGCAAGGAGAGGCCCAGGATGAAGAAGCTGAGCAGCACGGTGCGTACCAGGACTGTGAAGAGACCCTGGCTGCCTGCCGTACCTTGCAGAACTACAGCCACGGGGAGGGAGAAGAAGAAGCTCTTGCAATGGTGGAGGACTGTAGTGCTTCTCAGCATAATAGCCCCATGCCTAACCCGCCCATGCCCCCTTTAGCCAGTCAGTCTGTACGGTCAGTAAACAGCCCCGGGATGACACCTGGACCTATGGAGACAGGCACAGGGGTGCCTGGAGCTGCAGGGACAGGAGGAGGAACTGGAGGAGGATACACCCAGATAACTCCGGAGCACCCTAGTTCACTTTCAGCGCCGTCTTTGCAGAACATGGAGACCTCACCCATGATGGATGTCCCTTCTGTTTCGGATCACTCACAGCAGGTAGTGGACAGTGGTTTCAGCGACTTGGGCAGTATCGAGAGCACCACAGAGAACTATGACAACCCCAGCAGCTACGACTCCACCATGGGCAGTGGAGGTAGTGGAGGCAGTGGAGGTGGCATGTCCGTGTCTGTAGCGGCTGCTTCCTCGTCTGCTTCCTCTTCATCCTCCACCCCATCCTCCTCCTCCTCTCAAGGCAACAGCTGTTCCTTCGTTTCCACCCCAGGTCTGTCGTCTTCCAGTGCTGCCGTGAATCCCCAGTTAGGTATGGGCAGTTGCAGTTTGATTCAGCAGGCTGCTCCCGGCCCAAACAGTGGCAATTCTGGCTCCAATGCTGGTGCCGCTGTTCCACAGCCTCCACCCCCACCTCCTCCACCCACTGCAAACACCCCAAGCTGTGGCATTAAGTCTCCCCAGAGCTGCGTGATCGAAAGGCCTCCGAGTGCCAGCCAGCAACAACAACAGCAGCAGCAGCAGCAACAACAAAAGAAGGTTCCCCAGCAGCAGCAACAGCAGCAGCAACAGCCAAACCAACCTCAGACCCAAGCTCCACCTTCAGCACCCCCTCCCCCACCGCCCCAGCAGCAGCCTTTATCCCAGTGCAGCATGGGAAACGGCTTTGCCTCCACACCAATGATAATGGAGATCCCTGAAAGCGCAGGGAGCAGCGGAAGTGGACGAAGTCTCTACGACCGCATGGGCCAGGACTTTGGTGCTGGAGGCTACGCCCAGCCATCGGCCACCTTCAGCCTGGCCAAGCTCCAGCAGCTCACAAACACAATCATGGACCCCCACGCCATGCCTTATTCTCATTCAGCTGCTGTCACGTCTTACGCCACCAGCGTCTCTCTGTCCAGCCCGGGTTTGGCTCAGCTCGCTTCTTCTCCTCACCCTCCGCTTCCGCAGGCCCAGGCTACCATGACCCCGCCCCCCAACCTAAGCTCTGGTTCCATGAACCTTGGCTCTCCTCTAATTCAGTGCAACATGCCGGGGGCAAATATTGGCCTTCCTCCGCCGCCCCACACCCAGCGTCTCCAGGGTCAAATGGCCACGGTAAAGGGCCACATCTCCATCCGCTCCAAAGCCTCCCAAATCCCTGCCGGCTCCCCACACCAGCAGCAGCTTTATGGCCGTAGCTCCGGCCCGGTGGCCATGCAGGGCTCCCCTAGGACTCTAGCTGTCCAGCGTGGCATGATGACCAATCTCATGCCCACTCCAGCTGCCTACAACTCCATGAACATGAACCCCCTGAATGCGGCCATGTCGGCCGGCTACCGAATGCCCCAGCCCATGATGAACAGCGGTTACCACGGCAATCCGCCGTACATGAACCAACCGGCCCAGTACCCCATGCAGATGCAAATGGGCATGATGGGAGGCCAGGCGTACCCCCAGCAGCCTATGCAGCCCAATCACCACGGCAACATGATGTACGCAGGGCCTTCGCACCACAGTTACGCCGGAGTCCCCAAACAGTCGCCTTACATGAGCAGATGAGCAAGTTAGCATAGAAAATGTGCAGAGAAAGAGAGGAGAGTGTTGTGAAAAAGAAAAGACATTAATCCCCCCTGCAGAATTGGACTCGCATACTCTCTGTATTGTTTTCAGAGCGCACCCGTCTTCCCAAGACCTTGGCAATGGGAGCTGGCCTGAAGCGGGTTTGACGTGTGGGCGTGGCGGGACAGGAAGGTGCAGCAGCTGCGGAGGTTTCAATGTTTTAACTTCTCTTGTATGTTGTGGTCATTAAATTCTGTCCCGAGGGTTTCGGCTCCCTCAGAGCCGTGCCCAGCAGCTGTCGCTGAGCCGACAAAGCCGGGGGAAGCGGTGTGAACGGACAAGTATCGCGACGTACCAACGGGGCGGCACACTCTCCCCTCCAAACAGCATCCACTTGCGGAGCGGAGGAAGCAACAAAGCAGCTGCAAGGAGGAAGAGGACCTTAATTTTTCCAAACGGGGAAAATTTACATTTGATGTTGTTGGCGAACATGCACCGAACCATGCACACGGTCTTTGGAATTGATATAGGAAGCCTTACCTGAAAAAAAAATTGACAAAACAGTTGTAGATGGACTTTGCTCTTTTATTATTATTATTATTATAATTATTATTATTATTATTACCACCTTTGTTTATTTTTTAAATACGTTCTCGTTTTTCGGATGACAGTTGAACTGCTTTGTGTTTCAGTCTAGCCTCATGCTTAGTTTAAATATATATAAATATATATGTGTGGCTATACTTTGAGGGGGGGAATCCACACATTTTTTTGCTCTTATAAACATTCTCAAACATAAAACACACACGCACACATTTCTAAAGCCACTTCAGAGTCAAGGTGGAGGCACTTCTGTATGTGTGTGATGTAGAGCTGTCACGGAGACACCATGAAAAGTATCCAGTAATCCGTGTCTTCCCAGTTTGCAGTATAGGACCGCATGTATTCTGATTCGGTAAAGGCCGGCAGAGGAAAACGGTGGCTCTGTATGTATTCGTATGTCCATAAGTAGCGAGAGAAAGTACCGAACTCGGACGGGCGGACTGGGCCAAACAAGTGCGCCTGTGAAACTCTTAGATGTAAATATTCTGGTACTTCCTGATTCACAGCACAGACTCCCGAAATGTAACATGAGCACCCTTCGTCATAGACACTCCACTAGAGGGCAGTCAAATCAAGGGAGAATTACACGGTGGAAATTTTGTTTTTTGCCTTTTTTTTCCCTTTTCTAACAACCATGCTAGAGTGACCGCTACGTCTGCGTCCCATATGCGCCGATAACGCCGTACGTTTAACCCACTGCAGTGAACAATGGCTTATACTGTCGCAACACAAATCGCGGACTGCTTTGTTAGCGTTTCGTAACGAAGGAGACGTGGACAGTCCGCGGCGGCGCACACCGAGACTCGCGCCGACATCTCAGTTAACGTGCATGTCGTACAGGGACGGTTACCAGTATAGGACAAGGGGCAGAGAATCTCCTGTGTATTCAATGTCCAGTATTCTATGTCAATATGAGGATTCTTTCTTAAGACCTGACGTTTTCATATTTGTTATTTGTGTGGTTGTTTTTGTTTTGTTTTGTTTTTTTGTTTGTTTATTTCTTTTAATTTTCTGAATTTTATCAGACTGGGCAGCTTTCTTTTATGACACAAGCTGACTCTTTTTGACTTTAGCAAACTTATTGTAGAGAAAATGTTTTTTCTATAATATAAAACAAAAAATTCTGACATGGATATTGGTACTGTCATTTTTTTCACTTCTGTTTCAGGAAAAAAAAAAAACAATACATATTTTTTAGCTCAACTCTTGGGGTAATATTATTAAGAAATTCAAAACTAAAAAAATAACAGCTCACTTCTAGTGAATAAGATGCCTTTAACCTTTCCATTCCATCTCATCTCTAGAGTTTTCTATCTTTGTGTAGTATATTAATGCTATTTTAAAACAAAAAGGAAACGACAAATATCTAAAGGTCATTTCGCCGTTTATTTTTTTGTTTCCCCCTTAATTTTTTTGTTTATTTTTTTCTCGTGTGTGTATAGGACGACTTCCGTACATCTAAGAGGCATGTAAAAATGAGCTCAGTATGTTTCTGTCTGTTTATATTGCTTCCCTTTTTGTATCCTTTGTAATTGTACATGGTGAGTTGTAAGCTAAGAGAGAGTGCGGTAGATGGAGAGAAAGCGGAGCAGTGGCAGGACGCTGCTTAACGGTCAGTGGCGCCTGCCTTCCTCTCTCTCCTCTCTATTTCGTCCCTGTATGTATTTCCATTTATTTGTTCCTTTTCTTTATTTCTTAGCAAGTACTTTCAAAGAACTCTGTACATTTTAACATGAAACAAAAATAAATTATGTTGAGCCATTTCACTTGTTTTCTGTATTATTCTTACTCTCCTAAAACGGGTGCCGGACAGGTGTAGCCGTGGTCTTCATCTGTCCACTTTTAGTCCCCTATATTAGAACTGTTTTGTAGAAAAAGAGGAGGCTGGTATTTTTGTGGGCTGTTCATATTTAGTCAAACTGCAAATAAACTTTTTTGCCTTTTGATTTTTCCTTTTAAGCTGTAAAATTGAAATAAATTCAGTACATTAATTTTCAAACTGTATATTAATGTAAACTGTAGACCTGCATTCCCCCACTGTCTTCAGTGTCTCCCTTTCACCGTCTTTGGTGAAAACCAGTCGATGACCGAGTGAAGGGTGGGGCTTCTGCTATGGACACACCCGCTCTCAAATGCCTGCTTTTTTATCTGTAGTTGCTTGTAAGTGGTACAGCTTGAGATTTTGGGGTTTATTTCAAGGGCTGGAGTAGCAGGCTTTGAAAAAAGTTCTATTTGAGAATTCTGCTACAAATAAAATCCTGAAACTGAGCTGAAACAATGGTTTCCAAGCCAGTCTGTGTAATACATAATTAGAGAATTTAAACATTCGTAATACATGAAATATCTAACTCAAAATCAACTCGAGCTTAATTGAAAATTGGAACGAACCTGCCAAACGCATGTATTGTTGGACCCCTTGTTTTGATATGGATGCAGCTGTTTATAACCTTCAGCTGAAGGTAGTTATTCCTATTTATTTATTTTTAAGTTTTTAAGTACAACAGTAGTTCTGATTGTACAATTTTGATTTTCCTGAATACAGAGTGATTCAAAAAGATTCGTCCGATTTCAAAATGATTTATTTCACTTGTAAATCATTACAGAACAGTGCAGTAAACTGTAAATGGTTTAACTGAGCATAAAGTTTATGTAATTTTACAAGTGCTCAGTATGAACCTCCTCCAGCTGTACGGACAACATCAACACCATAGTCAAATTCACCCCATACTTGATTGAGCATGTCGGGTGTTGCTGCACTCACAGCTCTTTCAGTGCGATTTCGGAGATCATCCAGTGTTGTGGAACCAACACCGAACGCTCTGAGCTGTTGGAGTTTCACTGCCGACGAAAATCACCCTGCACAGTTATGACGGATTCACTCTTATTGAAGTAGAGAATGCAGAATGCTTTCTGCTCAGGGGTCTCATCTCCTCGCAGACTGAAGGGAGCCATCTTCCACTGACAGTCTATCTATGACCCCCTCTTTCAATTGGATTGTGATTGGTTCCTAGGCGCCTCACGGTTTAAAAATTATGGCTCTTTGAAATCGGATGAATCTTTTTTTTGAATCACCCTGTGTTTTCAAGATATACTTTACCTTCTACTCAAGCATAGTAGTTGTGGAAAGGCATCTACTGTGTACTCTGTTCTGTTTTTAGCCATTAACAGTAGGTTACTCATTCCTTTTTGGGTTAAATTTAATTTTGTTACCAGACTGCATCTGTGCTGCTTTGTGATTGGTTAAGTCTCTCACTTTGGCACATATAATTTTATTTTAGACCAAAAAGAGAAGAAATCTGATGCCTGAAACCTTTTTGCTGATGCTGGATGTATCAGCAAGTAACTCCGCATTGGGGGAGTTTTGAACCCGACACTAAGCACTTTTATTATTTCCTTCAGTCAGTATTTCCTTGGATTAACAATGAAGTGCTTGAACTTCACCCTTGATGGTTCTTCAAGGGTCCTTTCGTAAAGAAAATGGTTCTATATAGAGCCATGAACACTCAAAAGAACCCTTAGCATGGTTAAAGCGTTCTTCAGACTGCAGATTACAAAGTGCTATAGATAGTTCTACATAGAACCTTTTTGAAAAGGGTTCTGCTGTTAGTGTCAATAGAAGAACCCTTTTTGGTGCTATATAGAACTCTTCAAAATGGCTCTATGTAGAACCACCTATAGCACATTCTCCATCTATCCTCTTCACGCTGCCAAGAACTTTTAACCACGCATTTAATGCTTAAATGGTTCTTTGCATGGTGAAATGGTTCTGTATAGCACCAAAAAAAAGCTTGACACCGCAACTATACAAGAACACTTTGTGGTGCTATATAGAACCATTTTCAGAAAGGCTCTATGTAGAACCATCTAGCACATTTTCCATCAATCTGAAGAACCATTTCACGCTGCAAAGAATCATTTAACCACACAGGGTTCTTTGAGTGTTCATGGGTCTATATAGAATCACTTTCTTAACTAAAGAACCCCTGAAGAACCGTCTTTAAGTGTGCTGGGTGTAGATTATTCCACTCTCCATGGTTGATGAAGTGACTTAAGTACACACTTAGAATGGTGGTTCCTCAAAGGTTTTAAAGGTAAAGGCAATGGTTCTGTTTTGATTCAGAAGTGCCATATAGAACCATTTCATGCTTAAATGGTTCTATATAGCACCAAAAAGGGTTCTGCTAATGTTGCGCTGGACACATTCTCCATCAGTGTGAAGAACCATTTAACTATGCAGAGAACAGTTTAAGCATAAAATGGTTCTGTATAGAACTCGTGGTTCTACATAGAACCATTCCCATTACTGAACAACTATCTTTTAATGGTAGTGTGTTGTAGGGCAATAAATACAACGTTTTATATAGGAGCTTCGATTGATTAATATTTCTGTGAAATATTTGCTTAACAGTCTAGAACAATATCTCAGTCGTCTTAAATCTTTCTTTCAGAATAAAATATCAGTTTTATCGTTCCTCGTGACGGCAGCGTTACACCCCGATCAGGCGTAACATTCTGACCACCTCCTTGTTTCTGCGCTCATTGTCCATTTTATCAGCTCCACTTACTATATAGGTGCACTTTGTAGTTCTACAGTTATAGACTGTAGTCCATCTGTTTCTCTGCGTACTTTTTTAGCCCCCTTTTACCCTGTTCTTCAGTGGTCAGGACCCCCATGGACCCTCACAGAGCAGGTACTATTTGGGTGGTGGGTCATTCTCAGCACTGCAGTAACACTGACATGGTGGTGGTGTGTTAGTGTGTGTTGTGCTTGTCTGAGTGGATCAGACACAGCAGTGCTGCTGGAGTTTTTAAACACCTCAGTGTCACTGCTGGACTGAGAATAGTCCACCAACCAAAAATATCCAGCCAACAGCGTCCTGTGACCACTGATGAAGGACCAGAGGATGACCAACACCAACTGTGCAGCAGCAGATGAGCTATCGTCTCTGACTTTACGTCTACAAGGTGGACTGACAAGGTAGGAGTGTCTAATAGAGTGGACAGTGAGTGGACAGTGTTTAAAAACTCCAGCAGCACTGCTGTGTCTGATCCACTCGCCCCAGCACAACACACACTAACACACCACCACCATGTCAGTGTTACTGCAGTGCTGAGAATGATCCACCACCCAAATAGTACCTGCTCTGTGAGGGTCCATGGTGGTCCTGACCACTGAAGAACAGGGTAAAAGGGGGCTAACAAAGTATGCAGAGAAACAGATGGACTACAGTCTGTAACTGTAGAACTACAAAGTGCACCTATATAGTAAGTGGAGCTGATAAAATGGACAATGAGCGTAGAAACAAGGAGGTGGTCATAATGTTATGCCTGCCCTCATTTCGGTCTCACACCCTTCACACAAAATGTCAGCAAGGCCTCATACGTGCTCAGCCAATCACAGCACGCGTTGACCGTGACGGCGCCCTCCGCTGTCTAATCGCCTACGAGTAGCCCTTGTGACTTAACTCCACCAGTCGTGTTTGTCAGGGGGCGGGCTTAAGCATGAAACTCGGGCCGCTATTGGCCAGTTCTGAAGTCAATCATAGCTTCCACCGCTGAAGCCCGAATAGCGGAGGAAGAGGAGATTTATTTCCACTGAAATACTGAAGAAGCGAAACCTGCGGGTTGTTTTACTGTTACTGCTGTAAGTATGTCTCCTTATATCTTATATATGATGTGTTAATGCGCGTCAATGCATTTAAACAGCATAAATGCGCGTGAAAGGCTTCATTTTAATGCCTGTCTGGTGACTCAGATGGTCACAAGACGGTCCTGTGATGAGGAAAGCAGAGGATGGGAGGAGAAAGATGGATGCTCAGAGAGGGAGAGACGGAGGGGTTTGACTGTATAACGCCGGCTATTTGGAGTACAAATTGTCTTGTGTGAGACTGTTCAGCATATAAAGGGGAATTCCACCAAAATCTGTGAATGATTCAGTGGCTGAGATGTAAACAGAGAGAGAGAAGCTTCACAGTGGTGGTGATAGGAACCAGACGTCACCATGCCTGCAGCACAAATATAGCCATTTTATTTACTGTCCAAAACCACCAGTATGTAGGGTTGGTGAAGGTGAAATAGTGAGAAAATCTAAAAAATATGGGTTTTCTTTGGGGACTATGTTGCCTTAGAACACCCTTCATGTATCCCTCCACCATGAATGGATTAAAAAACGTTTTAGGCCAAAACTTGATCACAAAACTGCTGTAAAACAGTGTCTCAGACATTATCCTGAGTATTCATTACTATTTCATGTACTGACCTTCTGTGATGGAGCTTTCAGAGGCACTAAACTCCGCAGACGTCTGGTTCCTATCACCACCACTGTTCTCTGGAACAGAGCATTTCACACCAAACCACTCCGAATAAAAACTCCTGAAGAACCACCTTTTTTATTTAAAGCGTGCTGGGTTTAGGTTACTCCACTCACATTAGTTTGTGAAGAGGTAACTTGTGCACACAAGGGTTCTTTGCATGGTGAAATGGTTCTGTATAGCACCAAAAAAGGTTCTGCTATTGTTACAAGCTTGACACCGCAACTATACAAGAACGCTTTGTGGTGCTATGTAGAACCGTTTTCAAAAAGGCTCTGTGTAGAACCAACAGTAGCACTTTCTCCGTCAATCTGAAGAACCAAAAATCTGAAAAAAATAAGTTGTCTTTGGGGACTATGTTGCCTTAGAACACCCTTCATGTCTCCCTCCACCATGAATGGATTAAAAAAAACGTTTTAGGCCAAAACAGTGTCTCAGACATCAGGCTGAGTATTCATTACTATTTCATGTACTGACCTTCTGTGATGGAGCTTTCAGAGGCATTAAACTCCGCAGACGTCTGGTTCCTATCGCCACCACTGTTCTCTGGAACAGAGCATTTCACACCAAACCAGTCTAAATGACTGTGTTTGTTTGCTTCTTAAACATTTAATTATGCAGAAAATTTGAAAATTCGGTGGAGCTCCCCTTTAAGTACTGTTTGTGAATATTAAATACTGTTAGGATGTGTGTAAAGACACATGACATGTCTGTGTCTGTGTCTCTCTCTCTCTCTCTCTCTCTCTCTCTCTGCCAAAATTACATAATAAGTTATTTATTTAACTGAAGTCATAATATGAATGTTTAGCCTGTAGAGGATGTGACTTGTTTTCACTTAGTAAATCAATAAATCGTGTAATTTGGCCAGTCTGTACACGACAACTGTCTCTGGCACCTAAACAAATAGTTTAAAACCATATATCTGATCATTAAGGGGGCGAAAAAGCCACGGACTGAACTAAAATTAGAATAATATTGGCACGTCTTTGGAAAAAGGCTATTAAAATGTTTGCCATATTTAAGAAGAAAAGAAATGAATAAAATCAAAAAAAAGGCCCAAAAGGCTGACGTTCGGTCAGCCTCGTGTCACTGTACAGCCTGTGGAGTCGCTGCTTGTTGTACAGTTCTGTAACTTGTCCAGATATTTATGTACTGGCGATACCCCTGAATGCCCAGAATAGCCCGGAGCCGAAACCGGGCTCTGAACAAACGACACTTGATAAAATAGAATACAGTGCAGTCCAGTTAGCAGTGGCTTTATGCCGGTCAGTGTGTTTAACCCAGGGGTCACCAGTCTTGTCCACAAAGTCCTGGTGGGCTGCAGGTTTTCATTCCCGTTAAGCAGAAGCTCACCTGATTCCTCCTGTTTAAGCAGTTGGTCTTCACATAATTGAGTAGTTATGTATGAGGTGAGCTTCTGTGGATGAGCTTGGTGACCCCAAACGTGTCCTTGAGGAAGCCCAGTGTTATTTGTAATTACCATCCAGTACCTGGTTTGGCTCATCAGTATATCATTAGATTAATTCAGGTGAGCCACAGGTGTAATTTAATGAATCAGGCTGATGACTGAGGACGTTGAGGTGGAATCTGGACCCAAAATGTCCAGATGTGTGTTTTGTGCATTTAATATTTACATTAATGTTTAAATTAATTTTAATGTGGTGTTTTTTCAAACAGAAACATATTTATTGCCCTGAAAACAGCTAAGCAGTTCACTTAGGTGCTGAAGACTGTATATTTGGGAATGCTGTAGGTGTGTGTGCCGTCCCTCACTCACCTGTGTGCCTCTGGGAGAGTTCAGCAGCTCGTAATGTGATGCTTCTGAATATTAAACGAGGTGGTATAAGTTTCCACTTGTCCAGTGAAGACTCTTCTCCTGGCTTAACACAGCTGTGCTCTCGTGCATGAAGCACTGGAGTAACATTATGGCCAGAGATGTAGCCGCATGACGGCCCTGCAATTAGGATCAAATGGGTGTAGATTTTGGCCCGAACCCTTGTTTTTGAGTGTCGTCTTGCCCCTTGGAACTGAGTTATAAGGGGTAGTGGTTGAAATCTTCCCTCTGAAATGGGACCCTCAAATAAAAAGAGCATTACTTCATTAACAGCTACCAGCGCTGCTCTGTAGGCGACCCTGCCAGTCTGCAGTGACAGCAGAGGAGGGTAAAGTTCAGCTCCTCACTGCTGGGCTTTAGTTACATTCAGGGAATCATATGCCTTCAAAGAGGGGGGCAATTATTTATTATCACCCACCCTAATTCTTCAGTGATATGAAGCTGAAGTCAGATATTCTCCAGCGTCTTGTTCGAATTTTCCGTTCCACCTTAAATGGAACAGCAGTTATGATGCCTGGGGTACCAGGACTGCTGCACCATTTAGGGTGGAATGGGAAATTTAGCCAGATAGCTACCGAAATATCAGCAAACTACTAGCGACTTTTTTATGCTTGTTACGATAAAAAGGACCAAAATACATTGAAATGACTTTAAACTAAGGTAAAACAGTGGTTGTCGTAATTTTAACAGAGAAAATTCTCGCATTTGTCGGTTTGTTTGGTCTTGATCTCGCAGTTTTTCTTTTTTTTTTGTCACAACACTCTGGAGTCTCTGAAAAACCTCTGTTTAGAGGACCATGTAGCCCCAACACTTCGCCCTACCCCTATCTATCTTAAAACGATATGAATTTTGTTTATCGTGGTAACATTTTAGGCCATATCGCCCAGCTCTAACATGCACTGAGAAATCTGATTACTGAGCTAAAATCCAGCTCTCTTTATCAGATTTCTAGATCGGAGTCTTGTGTTTACATGACCATTTGAATAACTGGATTATTAAGATTATTGAGTGTTATATATTGACTGACATTTACTGTTTTATGCTGTGAGTATATTTCATATTCGTGACGCTGCTCTGCTCTGCTTCGTGTGCAATTTCAGGCCGAAAAGCTGCGAAGATGATCCACAGCCTGTTCCTCGTGAACGCTACGGGGGACATATTCCTGGAGAAGCACTGGAAGAGTGTGGTCAGCCGCTCCGTGTGCGATTACTTCTTCGAGGCGCAGGAGCGCGCGACCGAGCCCGAAAACATCCCTCCGGTCATTCCAACCCCTCATCACTACCTCATCAGCGTGCTGCGCCACCGCATCTACTTCGTGGCCGTCATTCAGAGCGAGGTGCCGCCTCTGTTCGTCATCGAGTTTCTCCATCGTGTCGTCGACACCTTTCAGGTTCGGCTGCTTTCCCTTCAGCTGCATCCCGTGCAGCCTTCCACAGGGATACAACCCACTGCTGCACGCAGTCATAAAGCTCTTTTTCAAGCTAAAAGGAAGGTTCTTTAAAGGGCCACATCATGGAAAACCAGATTTTCCTCACATTTTTTAAATAATAGTTAAAAAGAAATCCTCCCCAGGATTTTGCTCCAACCGCCTGGCTTCTCCAGGTGGCTCAGACAGGCAGCAGAGGTGTCCAGGCAGTTGGAACAAAATCCAGGGGCGGATTTTAACCTTCTGGACATGAATTTACCCCCTTGGACTGCAGGGGAACCAATTTTTCCTCACTCTTTTGATATTTTGATATAACATGTACGTTTCTACACTCCTCAGCCATACAGTCCATAACTAAAACTAAACATATACACAAAAACATTTACATATACCCACCTTTTCAGCCTATAGCAGTTTAGCCCAGCACATACTCTGGAGTGTTTCGGCCTGGCTTGCTTTTTTAAATGAGGTACAGAACAATCAGAACAGAGGTAATTTACATATCGGTCTTAAAGGCACAGTAACACAATAATAGTTCCACTGTTTTTGGTCCATAAACTGAAAATGCCATAAGTGGACCTCAGGGGACACACAGTGTACAAGACAAAGCAGAGTCTGCTGCATAAAAAACATTTTTAAGCCAGTTTTTGACATTTTTAAAATTATTTCAGATTTTTTTTTTTTTTGTGAAATGTGTGATCCTTAAAAAATTAAATTTGCATATCTAGTTAGCATTTGCATATTGTAGTCTACACTGTTTGATGTCAGTGAACAGAATAGGAAAAAATATTAATTTTATTCCACACTTTCGAACAGTAAAGACTTTAGAAAGGGGTAGTCTGATGTCATTTTGTTTTGCTTTTTTTCCCCAAAAAACATTTGTGACAATTTTCAGCATTTTAAAATGAGTGTTAGTGATTTTTCTTTTTCTTTTATTTATTGTTATTATTATTATTATTATTATTATTATTATTATTTTATTTTTTTGTGAAATTGGTGCTTCTAGCATTACTCTTCTGGAGCTGTACTGCAAACAGTGTCAAAATCGAACAGTAAAACGTGCCTGTAGAGTTTAATTACAAAGCTGAGCGCTCTTCACCTGCTCTCCACCCTCAGGACTATTTTGGTGTGTGCACTGAAGCAGCTATCAAAGACAACGTCGTTGTGGTGTATGAGCTGCTGGAGGAGATGCTGGACAACGGCTTCCCTCTGGCCACAGAGTCCAACATCCTGAAAGAGCTGATCAAACCTCCAACCATCCTGCGCACCGTCGTCAACACCATCACAGGTAAGGCTGGTTTTCTGCTTTTCTGTGTTTTTTTCTGGGTAACTCTGCTTTGCTGGATTTCTCATAAAAGACCTGTTCACTGCACAGAGCACCGTTATCTTATCCACTGTAATAAGAAAACCTCACATGTTCAGAATGGAAACATAATAGGAGAAGGAAGAATGGCCCATTTGTTGTGAAATGTTTTTTCAAATTATTAAAAAGTTTTCAAATTATGTTAAAAAAAAAAAAAATACACCAATCAGACATAACATTATGACCACTTCCTTGTTTCTACGCTCATTGTCCATTTTATCAGCTCCACTTACTATATAGGTGCACTTTGTAGTTCTACAGTTACAGACTGTAGTCCATCTGTTTCTCTGATACTTTGTTAGCCCCCTTTTACCCTGTTCTTCAGTGGTCAGGACCCCTCACAGAGCAGGTACTATTTGGGTGGTGGATCATTCTCAGCACAGTGTTTTAAAAACTCCAGCAGCACTGCTGTGTCTGATCCACTCGTACCAGCACAACACACACTAACACACCACCACCACGTCAGTGTTACTGCAGTGCTGAGTGTTTATTCTCACTCTACTCAACAATCTGATGGAAAATCTCCCTTTACATTCACACTACAAGTAATCAGATCCAAAATAACGCACTCAGTGTAGACGTTACCATGGCAACAAGCATCACGTGAGCCCAGTCAGAGTGAGATGAGCAGCAGTGAGCAGCGCTTGTGTTTTTAATTCCTTTAAAATGATGTCAGACTCAGGAAAACGTCCTTCACATGTCCTTATTAAAGAAGGCCGAGAGGAAGACGTCGTGTTCTGAGACACATAAGCTGGACGTCCGTCCCACCGCCGTCTTTTAAAGATCAGAGCATAAACTTCGTCTCCTCTGCAGACCAGTTTCTGCTCCGCCATGTTGAACGGTATAAACTTTCACTATGACGCGACGAACATGATCAGAATGTACTTAAACTTTCTGATAGGGAATGTAATCAGATACAGGCGTTTACACGGATATTATTCTTCTTTTTAACAGATTATTTACAGGATTATCCACCTCGATCAGTCAGATAGAAACTGTATTCTGAATGGCTTCCAATCAGACTAGTCTATTCTGATTGAGTTGTTTACATGGACCTGTTCTATTTCAATTGAGCTAATAGTTAGATTATCAGGCTACATGTAAATGTGGCCAATGTCTATGATCAAGTAGTCTGAGTCTAGGCTGGCACCAGTGTCATCAGGAGGATCAGTGGCATGCAGGTGAAGCTTTTTGCATGGCACTGGACAGCAGGAAGCTCCATAGTGGTCAGACTGGTCCAGAAGGTGGACGAGCAGTGGCAGCTGATCAAGGCATATGAAGCAAGAGCATCAGACGCACAGGACGGGCAGTTCAGCTTAGCAAAGAAACACAGACATTTAGCTCTGTTAGGAGCGACTGAACGGTATACAGTGTTAACAGAGAGCAGGCTGAGCTGTTACAGCCTAACAAAAAGGGCGAGACAGAAAGTAACTGACATGAGGGCTCCTTGAGATGTTAGTGACCGTCTGCTCCACTGGGCATCAAACTTTTTTGGATACGAAGTCAAAAAAAAGAATGTGCTGGTCTTCTTGGGGAACAAAAAAGGCTTGGAGCTTAATTTATAGATAATAACCACATTGAAATCACAATATTGATAAAAAAAAAAAAATCAGTTACATTTTTATATTGTATATTTTCTTCAAAATATTCGGCACTGATCTGCATTATCAGCAATTTTAAAAGACAAATAAAAGGTGGTGTCAGAGCATGTCTAGTAGCAAGATAAATATAGGCAGTAGTAAGATATATATATATATATATATATATATATATATATATATATATATATATATATATATATATATATATACATAGATATATAACATAGTATAGAAGTGTCTGTGTGTATATATAAATATCGCTGCTGTCAAAACAAAACGTTTACAGGAGAAGGAATAAACATACTTTACTTTTAATGTAAGTCAATGGAACCAGACTTTTTTCCCAAGTCATTCTGGGTCGTTTCTTTTGGTCCATTCATCATGAAATTTACACACAGTGTAAAGAACAACAGGTACTTTTAAATTGTCAAAAACTGAAAATGACCAACACAAACTGTGCAGCAGCAGATGAGCTATCGTCTCTGACTTTACATCTACAAGGTGGACTGACAAGGTAGGAGTGTCTAATAGAGTGGACAGTGAGTGGACACAGTGTTTAAAAACTCCAGCAGCACTGCTGTGTCTGATCCACTCGTACCAGCAAAACACACGCTAACACACCACCACCACGTCAGTGTTACTGCAGTGCTGAGAATGACCCACCACCCAAATAGTACCTGCTCTGTGAGGGTCCATGGGGGTCCTGACCACTGAAGAACAGGGTAAAAGGGGGCTAACAAAGTATGCAGAGAAACAGATGGACTACAGTCTGTAACTGTAGAACTACAAAGTGCACCTATATAGTAAGTGGAGCTGATAAAATGGACAATGAGTGTAGAAACATAATGTTATGCCTGATCGATGTATAGTTCAGTATAGCAGTAAGATATAGAAATATAGGTAGTCAGTTTATAGCTGTTTCCTCATTATAAATCCTATCAGACATTTCATGCATATATTTGTTGTGTGTTCTCTGTAAAACAGGAAGCACTAATGTTGGGGAGCAGCTCCCCACCGGACAGCTCTCTGTGGTGCCGTGGCGACGCACTGGAGTCAAATACACCAACAACGAGGCCTATTTTGATGTTGTGGAGGAGATTGATGCCATCATCGACAAGTCAGGTACGATCCCGTAGCACTAAAAAAAGGTTCCTATACCTGCAAGTCTGGACATTCCTGGTCACTTTAAATAGAAAGTAGATTAGATCACATCATTATTTAGGCAAAACCTGTCCAAACGTGTCCAGACTCCCCTGTTCAGTAACTCCTGAATTACTGAATTTAGAGTTTTAATCTCCATAGGAAGTTGTTGCAGATAGAATGAGACACTATGGAGGTCACAGTGTTTATAAAGCCTCTTTGAACTATAGAGCAGCTGGGCTCTCTGGAGTGATGGAGCTCCACCCAGTACCTTTGGGATGAGTTGGAGTGATCCAGAACTGACCATCCAACATCAGTACCTGACCTCAGTAATGCTCAATCAAACCCTCACAGCAATGTTCAGCATCTACTGTAAAGCTTTCTCAGAGGAGTAGAGGCTGTTGCAGCAAAGGAGGTCAAACTCAGTGTCTGGACACACCTCCTAAGAGTAGGTGTGTCCAGACAGATCAGTCAAATGGACAATGTGTCTGCCTGTCGTCCCTCCTGTAGGTTCCACGATCACCGCAGAGATCCAGGGGGTGATTGATGCCTGTGTGAAGCTGACGGGCATGCCTGACCTGACTTTGTCATTTATGGTGAGTTCAGTCCATTCCCGAAAAAACCTACTGATAGTTTGGAAAAGGGCGGAACGATATGGACAAAATACTATTATTACGAATATATTTAAAAGTGCATTGATTAATCTATAATCTATCTTGCCTAAAGATAGGTGTTCATTATTTAGACCAGGAGTTCTCAGCCTTTTCCACCTCGAGACCCTGTTTATCACTGGAAAGCATGAAGGCCCACTTTTTATTTTTTGCTGGAAAATGTCATTTTTGGGCAGTTTTCAACACTGCAATGTTTGGTTGCCAACCCCCACAGCAGCACTAGATGAGTTTCATTGGCTGTTATTCAACATATACAAGGTGATTCAGAAAGATTCATCTCATTTCAAAGCGCCATATCTTTACAACCGTGAGGCGCCTAGGAACCAATCACAATCCAATTGTAAGAGGGGGTCATAAAGTTTCTGACTGTCAGTGGAAGATGGCTCCCTTCAGTCTGAGAGGAGATGAGACCCCTGAGCAGAAAGTGTTCTGCGTTCTCCACTTCTATAAGAGTGAATCCGCCATAACTGTGCAGTGTGATTTTCGTGGGCAGTGAAGCTCCAACAGCTCAGAGCATTCGGCGTTGGTTCCACAACACTGGATGATCTCTGAAATCGCACTGAAAGAGCCGTGAGTGCAGCGACACCCGACATGCTCAATCCAGCATGGGATGAATTTGACTATGGCGTTGATGTTGTCCGTACAGCTGGAGGAGGTTCATATTGAGACCTTGTACAATTACATAATAAACTTTATGCTCATTTAAACTATTTACAGTTCACTGCATTGATCTGTAACGATATACAAGTGAAATAAATCACTTTGAATTCAGATGAATCTTTTTGAATCACCCTTTATTAAGAGATTGCGCTAACGTAACGTTTTTATTTGTTTTTATACCAGAAACAGGTGGAATTGTGGCAAATGAAGCTGAATATTTCTACAGAGCATTTTCTACTATTTTTATCCTCGCAAATGGACGAGCAGATTGAACGGCGCCATCTGCGGCCCACTACAGATCACAGCATTGGCTCGTGGCCCAGTTGTGGTCCGTGGCCCAGTGGCTGAGAAACCATGATTTAGACCAAAATAATTTACTTTTGTTGGATGTTTACATGACTTTATTCATCAAAACACCCAGTGAAACTTATCTGGTGCAGTGATCCGTCAGAACGATGACATTTAATAACAATTATATTGTGCAGCCCTGTCAGCTCCCAAAGAGAGCATCATGGCTGTTTTCAGTCCTGTAAGAATATAAGAGCTGATCTCAGATTAAGCTTTGACTCATTTGTGCTGACCTCTGTTGTGTTATGCTGATTTTATGCTTGTTTTATTTTGTAATCTAGCTGTTGTTCTGTATTACACCACAAAGGGTACGTCATAGATGCCTTACTCAAATTCTTTATTTCTCTGTCCCTCTCTCTTCTCTTTCTTTTTTCCTTCATTTCCCTCCCCACTTTGCCCCCCTCTCTCTCTCTCTCTCTTTCAGAATCCCCGTCTGTTGGATGATGTGAGTTTTCACCCGTGTGTGCGGTTTAAGCGCTGGGAGGCCGAGCGGATTCTCTCCTTCATCCCTCCCGATGGAAACTTCCGGCTGCTCTCTTACCACGTCAGCTCACAGAAGTGAGAGAACATCCTTCTCTTTCTTTTCTCGGCAGTATCACAATACGGTCATAATCAATCATGTCCCAGTATACTTGGAGAGCCTGTAAACAATAATAAAAATACATATTTATTATTATTATTAGTAGTAGTAGTTGTAGTTGTAGTAGTAGTAATAGTTGTAGTAGTTGTAGTAGTTGTAGTTGTAGTAGTAGTTGTAGTAGTAGTTGTAGTTGCAGTAGTTGTAGTAGTTGTTGTAGTAGTTATAGTAGTAATAGTAGTTGTAGTAGTTATAGTAGTAGTTGTAGTTGTAGTAGTAGTTGTAGTAGTTATAGTAGTAGTAGTAGTTGTAGTAGTTATAGTAGTAGTTGTAGTTGTAGTAGTTGTAGTAGTAGTTGTAGTTGTAGTAGTAGTTGTAGTAGTTATAGTAGTTGTAGTTGTAGTAGTAGTTGTAGTAGTTATAGTAGTAGTAGTTGTAGTAGTTATAGTAGTAGTTGTAGTTGTAGTAGTAGTTGTAGTAGTTATAGTAGTAGTTGTAGTTGTAGTAGTAGTTGTAGTAGTTATAGTAGTAGTAGTTGTAGTAGTAGTTATAGTAGTAGTTGTAGTTGTAGTAGTAGTTGTAGTAGTTATAGTAGTAGTTGTAGTAGTTATAGTAGTAGTAGTTGTAGTAGTAGTTGTAGTAGTAGTTGTAGTAGTTATAGTTGTAGTAGTTATAGTAGTAGTAGTAGTAGTTGTAGTAGTAGTAGTTGTAGTAGTAGTAGTAGTAGTATACATTTCCAAATAAATTAAACAGTTTGTCTTGTTTGTCTAACTTTTTTCTTTAACAACATCTTTATTACACCCTTCTATAACCTAAGAATAGCTCCATTAGTTTGCATTGAAGTCCCTGTAGTTACTGAATAACAAGCCATAGTATGAAATAAACCTGCAGTGTTAGGGGGTTAATTAATCTCTCTCTGTCTCTCTCTGTGTTTCTCTCTCTCTCTTTAGTCTGGTGGCCATTCCTGTCTATGTGAAGCACAACATCACATTCCGCGAGGGCAGCTCTCAGGGCCGGTTTGATCTGACTCTGGGGCCGAAGCAGACGATGGGGAAGGCGGTGGAGTCGGTGTTGGTCAGCAGTCAGCTGCCCCGCGGCGTCCTGAACACCAGCCTCAACCCCTCACAGGGCACTTACACATTCGACCCCGTCACCAAGGTACACATGTGGACTGAGCTCTGTGTGTGTGTGTGTGTGTCTGTGTGTGTGTGTGTGTGTGTGTGTGTGTGTGTGTGTGTGTGTGTGTGTGTGTGTGTGTGTTAGTGCACATGTGCAGTCATGACCTGATGTTCAGGTACCTGTGGAGAGGATATTAAGGTTTACTTTTACTGTAGGTTTACTTTTAGGTGGCACTGGTAGTCGCAGGCTGTAAAATTGCAAAGTTCATTCATTCATTTTTTCATTTCTTCATTTCTTCATTCATTTATTCATTAAATTTGTATTTTCTCTGTCATTTTAAACTTTACTCTCTAACCACCTCCACTCTGCCTGCTGTTTTACCTGATCTTTTACCATTGTTGTCTTATTTTCATTATTTTATTATTTATTTATTTGTTTGTTTGTTTATTATTATTCATATTCTTATATATATATATATATATATATATATATATATATATATATATATATTATGATTATTTGTCATTTTAACTAATTTTTTGTTTACTTTTTGGTCTTATTCTCCTTTTATTTTGATTTGATTTTATTAACTTTTACATTTTAGCTACATTTTAATTATTTTAATATTTTCTAATGTATTTTTATGTATTTTTATTATTAGTGTTTCATTTTTATACTTACCTGATTTATATCATTTTTTTTTTATTTATTAAATTTACTTTTATTATTTGATATATTCTTACACATTATCAATCCCTTGTTCTGTATCAACTCGGCAACACTGTAAATGGGGGTCACCCTCGATGTTCTCTGAGATTTAAATAACGGTTGGTTGATTGATTTATTAAATTTACTAAAGTGAATTTGTTTTAGGCTTGTGAAGAAAAATGCACAACTATATTCATACATACGTACTACAACAGTCACAACTGAGGCAAAAAAGCAGGGCTGGAGCTTTAAGTAGTGACGTAATAGTGGTGTGCTGGTGTTTCGTGTGTGTGTTTACGCAGCTGTTGACGTGGGACGTGGGCAAGATTAACCCGCAGAAGCTGCCCAGTCTGAAGGGCACCATGAGCCTGCAGGCCGGAGCCTCCAAACCAGACGAAAACCCAACAATCAACATCCAGTTCAAAATCCAACAGCTCGCCATTTCAGGTACAGCTGCTAACTTTACACTGTACACTGTACACTGTACACTGACCAGCCACTTCATTAAGTACACCTCCTTGTATCTACACTACATTTTATCAGCTCCACTTACTATATAGGTGCACTTTGTAGCTCTACAGTTACAGACTGTAGTCCATCTGTTTCTCTGCAGACTTTGTTGACCTGTTCTTCAATGGTCAGGACCCCCACAGAGCCGGTACTATTTGGGTGGTGGATCATTCTCAGCACTGCAGTAACACTGACGTGGTAGTGGTGTGTTAGTGTGTGTTGCGCTGGTCTGAGTGGATCAGACACATCAGTGCTGCTGGAGTTTTTAAACACCTCAGTGTCACTGCTGGACTGAGAACCAAAAACACCCAGCCAACAGTGTCTTGTGGACAGAAACTGACCGCTGATGAAAGACTAGAGGATGACCAACACTGACTGTGCAGCAGCAGATGAGCTATCGTCTCTGACTTTACATCTACAAGGTGGACTGACAAGCTAGGAGTGTCTAATAGAGTGGACAGTGAGTGGACACAGTGTTTAAAAACTCCAGCAGCACTGCTGTGTCTGATCCACTCATACCAGCACAACACACACTAACACACCACCACCACGTCAGTGTTACTGCAGTGCTGAGAATGATCCACCACCCAAATAGTACCTGCTCTGTGGGGGTCCTGACCACTGAAGAACAGGGTAATAAAACAGATGAAAACAGCATCTCCAAAATTGTCACTTTACAAGAGGGTTTTTAACCTGTAATGGAAGGTGTTTCTAATAAAGTGGCCAATGCGTGGAAGTACAAGCTAGGTGCTAGGTGTAAGTGGACAGCGAGTGCATCTGTGTGTGATGCTGCATCCAGATTAGACTGATTATGAACTTTTAAAACTAAATATAAAAAGTTGCTTACTGTCTTTGTGTAATCAGGTGCTTTTATTTTTAAAAATACAAAGGAAAAATCTTCTCTTCGGCCAGTGAATTGAAATACTCGGTGGATTGAATTACTAGTCTGACCACTTCAGAACACCGTTAATATATTATTATTATTATTATTATTATTATTATTATTATTATTATTGTAACACTGTATTTGGACAGTCCACTTTTGAAGCTTTGTAGATACTTAATTTACTTTCAAGTTACATTTAATTAAATTTCTACTTAATTGACCATTTTCTTTAGCTCTAAACCTGCTCTAATCCTGACCCTAACCACAACCACAACCTCAACCCAAAACCTAAACCCAACCCTCACCCTGCTCCTAGTCCTAATCCTGATCCAAATCCTAACCCTAACGCCACCACTGTTTTGAGTTTCAACAGATAGTTTAACAATTTGAACGTCTGTAGGTAATCTGTAGTGGACTATAGGGGACAATACAAACAAAGTTGTTGTTGTTGTTGTTGTTGTTGTTGTTGTTGCTGGTGTTGTTGTTGTTGCTGTTGTTGTTGCTGTTGTTGTTATTACTATTATTATTGTTATTATTATTACTGTTATAAAATGGGAGCACATTTATGACATTACCATGTTTTGACCACTAGATGTCGCCTGTGTACAGAGATGTTAATTTGCTCCATAGCTCTAATCTCACAGGTCTGTGAGTTCACATGCAAATTCGGTTTGCACAGTTCCCTGTCGGCTCGTAAGTGTCACATACCTATACAGGAGTCGCCATGGTAACGTATTGTACAGTACGGACTCTCCTCTGACACATAGTCTCTCTTCTCTTTGTCCCAAAGGCCTGAAGGTAAATCGCTTGGACATGTACGGCGAGAAATACAAACCATTCAAAGGCATCAAGTACATGACCAAGGCGGGCAAATTCCAGGTCCGGACCTAGAGACTGGCCGCCCTGCAGCTTCCAGCCGACACCGACGACAACAAAAATACAGCAGGGGGTCACAGTGGAAAAGCGGGGGCTTGAGAACTGGGAGTTTTGAGTTGGCACGTTCTAAGTGGGTACGCATTTCAGGAATTTGGAAGAATTCTTCAGCCCAAAAAATGCTAACAATCCATGAAATATTGCAAAGTTCCACCTGGCTTGATCTTACTCAGACAACGCTATCTGGCTTTTGTTAGATCTCATTCATTTTTATCAGTGTTAGCATTCCTGAGGTAGAAGCATTCCTTTAAAACCAGCCCCTGTTCTCTCATATGGAGGAGAACTGAGGGAACCGAGTTACACAGTCAGAAAAGCAGACACTAATCCTTCCAGACTACACAGACAGTGGCAGTATGTCATTGTGTTGGAGTCCTGCTCTCGCATTCCTTATCAAAATGACTCATTTCTCATCATCCTGATGTGTTTAAGTTCTATTCGGATGGGATACGTTTTCCAGACACGTGCTATGTGTCCAAAAGTTTGTGGACACCTGCTCATCCAGCATTGAATTGGATGGTATTAATAGTGGGTTTGTCCCTCTTTGCTACAGTAACAGCCTCTACTCTTCTGGGAAGGCTTTACACTAGTTTTGGAACATTGCTGTGAGGATTTGATTGCATTCAGCCACAATAGCATTAGTGTGGTCAGGTACTGATGTTGGATGGTCAGTTCTGGATCACTCCGTTTCATTCCAAAGGTATTGGACGGAGCTCCATCACTCCAGAGAACGCAGTTCCACTGCTCCACAGCCCAATGCTGGGGGGCTTTATACCCCTCTAGCCCACTCTTGGCTTTGGGCATGGAGCTCCAGAGCAATGGGTGCACCTTAAAGTGTCATTCCAGCCTAAAACTAGCATTTAATGTCTTTTGTTATGTGGTATTTTTGTATCCCTTAGCCTCATCAGTTTGGCAGAATTCATAATTTTACATAGTTTTTGTGTTTCCGTCCATCAGTGTTCTCTCACTACAATACCCAGCATGCATTGCGCAGATATGTCGCACAACTATTGGGAATCTCCTCCACAGCAATGAAGAAACCCACCGATGTAGAGGCTGATAAATACAGATGTGATATTTGGATTCCTGCACTTCTTCAAGGGTTCTTTAGTAAAACAGCGGTTCTATATAGAACCATGAACACTAAAACAACCATTTGCATGCTTAAAGGGTTCTTTGCATTGTGAAATGGTTCTTCAGTTTGATGGAGAATGTTGAATATGGTTCTCTATAGAACATATTTGAAAAGGTGTCCATAAGGCACCAAAAAGGGTTTTTCTATTAGCAGAACCCTTTTTGGGCCTACATAGAACCATGTGCAACATTCTCCGTCAATCTAAAGAACGCCTTTACCATGCAAAGGATCATTTAAGCATGCAAATGGTTCTTTGAGTGTTCACGGTTCTACATAGAACCACTGTCTTTACCAAAGAACCATTGAAGAAGTGCAGGAATCCAAATATAACCTGTATTTTTTAGCCTCTACACTGGTAGAACCCCTGAAGAACCATCATTTAAGAGCGTAGCAGTAATGTTAGCTATCCACGTTTGCGAAAGCTCCTCCCACCTTCAAGATGCATCACCAGAAGGTGGGTTTCCCACTCTTTAAACCAGAAAATCTCCGTCTTGAGACGATTGTGGCACCACTGTAGGAGGAAGGTAGGCATGTTTACAGCAGATGAGGTTTTTATTTGGCTGAATTCTCTAATTAGAGACTGTCCGGATACTTTTGGACCTATGGTGTATAACGGTTTGGGACAAGACTACAGAGATGAACCGCACCTCCCCATATAAACGTAATCTCATTCAAATAGTGCTTCAGAAAAACCTCTTCGTCCTGTTTTATCCCACATTCATACTTCTTTATTTTCCTTTCATCCTTTCTGTCGTAGGTCTTTAACCTGTGCCACGATTTCTCTGTTTACTTCTTTTTCACTGTGTATTGATATTCCTCCTCCTCTGAAGAGCGAGGCAGAGAAATGACTCACAGCTTTAGTTTAAATGGGGAACTTGCACGGCCCTCTCATGCACTTGCAGGGGAACACCACCAGTTTTCCAAAATTTCTCCATAATTAAATGGGTGAGACGTAAACAAAGTCAGAATGTTTTCGTGTAAGATGCCTTGTCCTAGAGAAAGTACTGTTCACAGTGGTGGTGATAGGAACCAGACGTCCGATGTCTCTAAAAGCTACCTCACGTCGAGTCATTACATGGAATGGTTATGAATACACACTGATTTATGGCAGCTTTGTGAAGGTTTAGGCCTAAAACATGTTTTAAAGCAGTTCATGACAGAGAGATACTTGCAGGCAAAATAGTCCCCAAATAATAATAATTAATATTACTTATAAAAACTCAGAAGACACTGATGGTTTTGAGTGGTAAATAAAATGGCTGTATTTGTGTTGGTAACCCCTGGTTACTATCCCCACCACTATAAAGAAATCAGCAAGTTTCTCTACAGTTAACCGTTTTGCATCAAACCACTCTGAATGACTCTGTTTACATTTTAGCCATTAAATTGTGCAGAAATTTTGAAACATGGGTGGAATTCCCCTTTAAACATTGTCTTATGAACAGTTACATTACTGAGACACTACCGTTGTCAAGACTGCGTCAGTATAGCGGTGCTGCATTATTATTCCTCTGCTATATTTATGTCTCTCTGAATGCATTGCTGTACATACAGCTCTTAGCTAGAACGCAGCTCATTAGGAACTTTTGAAAGCCTTTTTATTTCACTGGTGGGTGGAAATCATCAAATCAAGGTCCACTGTAGTTTCTAGGTGATGCGGACCAAAAGAACAGATTCCAAAGTCTGTGTTTTTACTGTGATTATTTATGTTTACTTATTTATTTCAATTTCACTGTAAGATCATTTTCTGTTTGCAGTTCGGAGGATGCTATGATTGTTTTCTCCTTCGTTTCCTGAATGCTCCAGAATAAAAGACCTGAAAATACTTTGTCATTTCTTAGTTCATCCCAGTAAACTACAACCCTGTTTCCAAAAAAGTTGGGCCACCTGCAAAACGTAAATAAAAACAGAATGCAATTGTGCAAATTATTTAAACCCTATATTTAATTGAAAATAGTACAGAGACAACATATCAAGTGTTGAAACTGAGAAATGTTATCATTTTTGAAAAATATTTGCCCATTTTGAATTTGATGCCAGCAACATGTTTCAAAAAAGTTGGGATGGGGGCAACAAAAGGCTTGTAAAGTTGTGTAATGCTAAAAAAGGTCCCTGGTGGTTGATTGGCAACAGGTCAGTAACATGATTGGGTATAAAAAGAGCGTCTCAGAGAGGCTGAGTCTTTCAGAAGTAAAGATGAGGTGGGGTTCGCCAACAATACCAGAATAACGTTTCTCAGTGTAAAACAGCAAAGAAATTGGGGATTTCATCGTCTGCAGGACGTAATACCATTAAAAGATTCAGAGAATCCAGAGAAATCTCTGTATGCAAGGGACAAGGCTGAAAACCAATACTGGATGGTCGTGATCTTCAGCCCCCTTAGATGGCGCTGCATTAAAAACAGACATGATTCTGGAGTGGAAATCACTGCATGGTCTCAGAAACGCTTCTGAAAAACACTGTCTGTGAACACAGTTTGTCGCTGCATCCACAAATGTAAGTTAAACCTCTACCATGCAAAGAAGAAAGCATATATAAACAGGATCCAGAAATGCTGCCACCTTCTTTGGGCCCAAGCTCGTTTAAGATGGACTGAGACGAAGTGGAAAAGTGTCCCGTGGTCTGACGAATCCAAATCTGAAATTCTATTTGGGAATCACGGACGCTGCATCCCCCAGGTTAAAGAGGAGAGGGACCATCAGGCTTGTTATCAGTGCACAGTTCAAAAGCCGGTATCCGTGATAATATGGGGGTGTATTAGTGCACATAGCATGGGTGACTTTGGCACCATTAATGCTGAATGATATATACATGTTTTGGCAACATATGCTGCCATCCAGACGACGTCTTTTTCAGGGAAGGCCTTGATTATTTTAGCAAGACAATGTCAAACCACATTCTGCATGTATTACAACAGCATTGGTCCATATTAAAAGAGTCGGTGCTAAACTGGCCTGCCTGCAGTCCAGGCCTGTCACCCATTAAAAACAGACCATGAACTAATGAGCAGCTGAAATCCTGTATCAAACAAGAACGGGAAAACATTTCATTTTCAAAACTACAGCAGCCTCTCCTCAGTTCCCAAACATTTAGTGTTGTTAAAATAAGAGGTGATGTAACACAGTGGTAAACAGGCCCCCGTCCCAACTTTGTTAAAAAAAAAAATGGGCATATTTTTCAAAAAAAAATAAAATTTCTCCGTTTCAACATTTGATTTGTTGTCTTTGTATTGTTTTCAATCAAATATAGGGTTTAAATGATTTGCACGTCATCGCATTCTGTTTTTATTTACATATTTTGCCCAGCGTCCGGGCGTTTTTGGAAACAGGGTTGTTAACTTCTTCTTCCAGCTGTATGTTTTGAAACAACATCCTGTACAGAAATCTAGCCTGAAATCTTCTGAAAGACTTTGACAGAGGCACAAAAACTTGGACCCAAGAGGAAGCGATGTTATCTTTACTGCAGTGGAGAATTATTGCAAATTGCTGTTTTTCAAACACTTATTTCAGCTCCTTTGGTCTTCGAGATTGCAGTATTTTACAGCCGCAGAAGTAAACGTCCTCTACAGAGAACTGTGCATTTTAATGCGCAATTACTTTTATTTGCTGAATTTAACACATTGGGGGAAAATGAAAGCATGAAATGTAGCCTGTGAAAAAGTTATGGCACATTTTATGTTTTTTCCCCCATAATATATTAACTGTGTACTGAAATTTTCAGTGCCGTATTTAAGATGATGTGTTGTTTTTTGGTACCGTCTTCTTATCGTGTAACTGCAGAGACGCTATTTTTACTCCGGTATGGCTTTACCCTTTTGTGCTTATCACTGATAACACTGATCCTCTGAACGTTTCAATGCAACTTTTACTTCTGCTCAGGTATATCTGTGAGGAAATGAGTCTGTTTCTTCTTCAGTTCCACTTCAGTCAACATGTCACTCCTAATTCCTTTTTTGGGGTTAATTTCATTTTCTTCTGATGGTTCAGAGGTGAAAATGTATGTGATTATACTTCATTACTATACTTAAAGCTGCACTACGGCAGATTTTTTATTATTTTTTTTGTTTGAAATGAAAGAAATGGCATTACTGACTCCAGGGAACAGCGCATTTAAATACGGTGTGCGTGTACGTCTTTACATACACCGATCAGGCATAGCATTATGACCACCTCCTTGTTTCTACACTCATTGTCCATTTTATCAGCTCCACTTACTGTATAGGTGCACTTTGTAGTTCTACAGTTACAGACTGTAGTCCATCTGTTTCTCTGATACTTTGTTAGCCCCCTTTTACCCTGTTCTTCAATGGTCAGGACCCCCATGGACCCTCACAGAGCAGGTACTATTTGGGTGGTGGATCATTCTCAGCACTGCAGTAACACTGACGTGGTGGTGGTGTGTTAGTGTGTGTTGCGCTGGTCTGAGTGGATCAGACACAGAAGTGCTGCTGGAGTTTTTAAACACCTCAGTGTCGCTGCTGGACTGAGAATAGTCCACCAACCAAAAATATCCAGCCAACAGCGTCCTGTGGGCAGCGTCCTGTGACCACTGATGAGGGACTAGAGGATGACCAACACAAACTGTGCAGCAGCAGATGAGCTATCGTCTCTGACTTTACACCTACAAGATTGAGTTTCTCTTTAAATTATCTCTCAATAATCCGATTCATCCACTCGGGGAAGGGGTCCAAAGCGCGACCCTTGTTTCTAAATGTTCTGCATTTCCACCAGAGGGGGCTCCAAATCATCAAAAATATAATAAGCTGTGTAGACTATTAAAGCGCCTTATATTTCTACTTAATTATATTTGTGAGGCAAGAAATCTACTTTATTTATTTATTTATTCATTTATTTATTTAACTCAAACATTCTAGTTATTCACGTTTAGCTCCCTATTCTATTTTTGGGCTTTAATTTTATTCTGTTCATCTCCATTATATCCAGAAGTGGGAAATGTTTAATTAGATGTACTTTGTTACTTCACTTAAGTATTATTTTTGGAAGATTTCTACTTTACTCGAGTATTATTGGAACTGAATATTCACTTTTAGTACATTTCTAAGTCAAATAAATGTATTTTAACTGCTTATATTGTCAATTAGATCCTCAAATGACTTTTTCCATCCCCATCTGTTCATCACTGACCACTGATCACTATTTAGGCTCACTTAGACCATCAAAAGGCCCAGCTGTGTGTAAAACTTTACTTTTAGTCCTTCATAATTTATGTTTAGGGCTTTAATTGCAGTCTGTTCTGTTGCTCCAGCCCCTAATCTGCTGTTCCTGTTCACTCCTATCTGCTATTTCAAACGTTATCTAGCCCTTTCAGAGTTAACCTCATGTTGTAAACCCCCAAAATGTTTAACCCTCTCGCTCCGGCCTGACACTTGACTCCACTCCACAGTTTCCTGCAGCCTCGCGGCGCCCTCTTCCTCCCCCTCCACCTCCTCCTCCTCCTCCTCCTTTTCTTTCTTTTTTTTTTCTTTTTCGTCTTTTTAACTCTTAAGATATCCGAACAAGACGTAGGAACTTTTTTTCCCCTCCTCCTCCAGCTCGTTTACTTTCGCGAACTTGCAGCGTCACGCTTAACACTTCTACAGCAGTTTCTGCTCCGCATGAGTCAGACGTTTCAGTCCGTGTCACTTTTTTTTTTCCACCCTCCCTCGCTCCTCGACCTCGTTCGGGACCACTTTTTCTTCTCTTTCGCTTTAATTTCTTCGCTTCTACCCGCACATATCACTGGAGGTCATTGAGGATGTGGACACTCGAGCAGGGAGTTTCGTTCGTCTCGGTAAGTAAATTGCACTTTGCCATTGTGTTGCCAGTCGTTTCCGCGCTGTCCCTTTAAGAGCCCGCGTGTGTGTATTGCTCTGAGTGAGAGTGATTAAAGTGATCAGCCGCTGCTCGCGCACTGCAATCACTCCAATACACACCTCGGTGAGTCCTTCACCCACTTTTTCTCATGCATGACAAAACAAAGTTTCCAACCCTTCCTATCAGTCGGTCTGTTTGCATTTAGTGTAAATGGTGTGGATTCTCCTGTTGGGTGTTAGTCTTTATCTTACATGCACCCTGGAGCTAAAATAGGAGGCTCGTTTCAGGTGGGAACCTGTTAGGGCGTTTCTGCTGATGTGTCTCTTTTCTCACCCGTCCAACTGCAACCTGTAAACAGTAGTTAGCTGCTGTAATCTGCCACATGGCACCGCAGGAGACGGTCCGTTTTCACCCTCTGGGGTCTCCGAGTTAAAGAGC